GCATCTTTTAGTTTTAACACAACAACATGTAGTGGTGGGAGTTTGGCATATGGTGTTTCGGGTTTGCTTCCCAACAGTTTGCGAAGTGCCATTCTGGAAAGAGAAAAGAGGAAATATTGGTAATTATTGAATTAGAAGCATATTTGTGTGAAGTGGCAGTTACGGCAATAGGAGATATTGGTATTGTATGAATATGATGGTATGTAATAAAACATGAAATGGAGGACGTGAGTTATACTGTGGTCAGTCAGTGTGCAGCTGCATGTTGTGTGTTGTTTACACCTGTAGATGGCAATTGTGAGTCAATGAGAAAGTGAAATCCAAAGTAGTAAGTGAAGACGTGTTGAGAGGATGAAAAAGCCATTAGAAGGATGAGTGGCAGAGTTTATGTTGTGAAGTCGTAGAGTGCGTGCTTAGAGTATGACTTGGATAAAAAAGTCTAATTTTGTTGAAGTTGTGGATAGATGTAAGACGATGTAAAAATATCCCTGGATCCGCTTGGGAATTGTGTGTAACAGTCGCGACAGACCTTGTGGGCGTCCTCGGTGGTTGTGTTTATTAGTGTCGTTATTGTTATTAAAAGACTGGCAGTCGGGATGTGTATAATTCAGGTTAGGGTCAAATAAAGAATGAGGCGAAGTAAGTATGAGCAGAGTTACCGTCGGCAAAATGTTGTTATGACACCGTATGGAAATACTTATATACAGTTTGGCAGATATATGTACCAATTGGTCCATTAGTGACACATTGCTCACTATACAAGTGGAAGCTGGAGAAGTGAAAATATGGTCTGTAGACATGCTTTATGTAAAATAAGGAATGTAAACATAAACACATTGAATGATGAGAAGTAAGTAATTAACAGATACTGTATAAGTAATGGTAGCATCGTCCGCCTGAGCTATACACGGTATTTGTAATTTGGTAGCCTTTGCATATCAATTTTTACATGTGAGCAAACAGTGAAGAGGAGAAGAATAGAGAAAATATAATTTCAGAGCTAGAGGAAGACGGTTTAAAGTTAGTTTAACTTGTTTTACTTACTTGAGTGGTCAGCGTTATCTGTGTCTGTCGCGAAGGCTCCAGAAAATGTAGGTCGTTGTTGGCGTTTTTCGCGGTAGTGAGAACTTTAATAATATGATGATGACGCACGGGATTGGCTTACTGCCAACAGTGACGTTTTTATCAATTTGTTGCTAGGGTAGATTTGGCATCGGAAATGGTGTACCAGTCCTTAGTGCTAGAAGGTAATTACTGCATGCCTGGGAACATTTGGGTCATACATTTCGGGAGATTTTTGCGGCGCGCACCGGGCAGTTTAGGGGTTACTTTGTATGGTGGATATGCGGTAATTATGAGAGCATTTGTAATTAAATTGGTCATATAAATAATTATAAGTGAAGTTGCAGATTTGTATTTTTTGTGTTTGTTTTAACAATAACAAATGGTAATAAAAAACAATAGCTACGATATGCCTTGAAAGTACTGACTGCACAAATATTGGTGTTAAAGTCCTCCTATGTTTTACATGCTTTCCAGTATGAGGCTCTGTGAACATCTGCGGGTCCAATACAGCATTCTTTTATCTGAGGATGCCCTGAACGCTTCACTACGAAACGGTGAAAGACTATCAACGTAAATTCCAGAAAAATTGCATTTCCGTGCAGAAAATGCGTGGAAATGCAGAGTGCTGAAAACTGACAAGCCAAGCATGCAAAACTGTGAAAAAAATGGAGGAGAGTATATATGAAACAACTGTTAAAGGGGTGAAGTGTAATAAGTACAAATTGTATGAATGTTTAAACCGTAACACAACTGAAGAAGATGATGAAAAAGAGATGAGTTGTATGGATGTAAAAACACTGGGAGAGGTAAACCAAAAGCTGTATGAATATCCCAATTGCTAAAGAACTGAACTTGAAGACTACAGAAAATATGGTAAATAATTTTAAAGATGGCTGAAAAGGCCTTCATGTTGGTAGAAGTAGAAATGAATGTAGATGAGACATAAACACATTACAGAAATATATTTAATGTAAAATTAGCATCAAGTTAAAAAATTCAAACTGAGTTTTTACATAAGTAAAACCAAAAGAAAGAAAAAAAGAAAATATTTTTGTCAATCCTTTAACATTTTGTGAGCAATGAAATGATAAATCATAAAACATTAAAAACAAAAACAAAAAACATGAAAACATAAACACACAAAGAAACAGTGTTCCATAGTGGCTTAAATGAAATTATAAACAATTTGTTTGTGAAGAGGTTTTGGAAGCAGAAATCTTTACATGGGTGACCAATCTGTCTCTTAAGCTTAAGGTTTTAAGATTGTTGTTGCTGTGATTGTTGATGGATAAAGTTATCACAATTTCAGTTGTTTGTAAAATTGTTTAGCCCAATCATTAAAGGCTCTTCACACAGTTGTTAGACTGAGGCTAACAGCCCATTATTTAGTGGATTCAAACTCCAGCAGCCCTGTACCCACATTCACCTCTTTTCTTGTGTTTTCAGATTACTAAGCCTTAACAAAAGTTGGCTCATAAAATTTGTCATGGCCCATTAAGCCAAGTCCTGTGTTGTGGGCTTTAAAAACAGACCTTGACATTTGATTTCAAAGTCTGATACAGGACTGTTATGCGTGTTTTTAAGGGTTTAGATTAGCCTAAGACTAAGTTTGCACATTGCACACACTAGGTTTGCACCTATACATTAAAAAAGATATATGAAAGTGGTGACTTGAGAGTTATAAAAAAAAGTAGTTATTACAATCGGTCAGCAGTATAACAACATAAATGTGAATCACAAAAAGTATAGAATGGAACATGAGGAATAGTATGCAAAAATAACCCAGCAGTTTACTGTAAAGTGTAGTACAGAATTGTTTCAGAGAAGTTAAAATTTAAAAAAGAAATGAAATGTGAATAAAAATGTAAAATAATGTGAAGGGTAAGGTAAAGAATGCAAATGGAAATAATGAAAAGTTATCCAGGCTTGTGCAAATATACAGGCAAAGTAAGGTGAAAGGCTTTTGAATTAAATATGGCATTATAGTATTTTTTAAAGCTAACTGCAGTGAAATGTGGGCCCTCTCATGTAGAAAAAAAAGAAAATTATAGAATAATAAATAATTATAATAATAAATAAAATTAAATGATGTGAAACTGAAACTTTAAACAAAATCTAAAATAATCAGATTAAAAAGTAGATCTGAGAACTTGAAATAAATTGATGTAATGTATTGGTCCACCTTACCACCAAAAGGCTTTTCACAGTAGACCAAGGCTAATACTGTCATCAGCTCATTGTAGTGGACTGACAATCTGGTCAGCACTTTTGTTTGGAAAAATAACTCAGCAGTTTACTGTACAGCGTAGTACAGAGGTATTTTACAGAAATTAAAATAATTGTTTTTCAATTAAATCTAAATGAAAAATTAAATATAATGTGGAGGGTAAGGTAAACAATGCAAATGCAAAAGATGCAAAGTCATTCAGGCGTACGGAAATATACAGGCAAAGGTGAAAGGTTAACAACTTAAATATGGCACTGAAGTATGTTTTATAGCATGTATTGCTCCACCTTACCACCCAAAAGGCTTTTCACAGTAGTTAGACCAAGGCTAGTACTGTCATCAGCTCATTGCAGTGGACTGACAATGTGGTCAGCATTTTAGATCCCAGTGTTTTCTTATCCAAACATTCACACTACTTGTCTTACTGAAATGCTGGGTTGTCTTCATGTTGATAGTTTCTTTTTAAAAAGTTATCTACTATGGAGAATTACATTTTAAGGATAAGCATAAAAACTTTGTTCCTCTATGAAATCCATTCACACAGCTCGTTTAACCAAGCCCTGTGTTTGATGATTGTGACGACAACCTTCAGCAGGGATTGTTTCACACTGTAATGCTGGGATCACTGCTGTTCAAGACATTAGTCCAAGACTAAGCACACGTGAAAAACCTGCAGTGTACCTACCAGCTGAAACCCCAAGTAAATCATTTATTTCTAAAACCACGTCTTCTCTTGTAGGTAAATTTGAGGGATATGGTGAGCATATTAAAATGAGAAATTCAGCTGCCTGCAACAACTGAAGTAAGTGGTATTTTTTCCCTTCATCAGTGTTGGTCATCTTTTGATATAAGGACAGATACACAGTAAAAGGGAAAGACAATACTCAAATAAAATAGAACAAATAAAGTCCAAGAAACATAAAGGAAACTTAAAATATTAACAGATATCGACAACCGATCACTTAATATAGAAAACAGGATTCAAAACAATATAAGAGTAAAAGTTGTCCTGTCCTGAAGACAATCAGTCAGTTCCTCAAGTGAGTACTGTGTTCTGTCTGGGCACTTTTTTTCAAAACCAAAAGCAGAGGCCGGTACAGTTCAGAGTGAAGGTAATGTTTTGACCTTTGACCTGTGGTTGTAGAATCGCCGTGTGCAGTTATCAGTGTTCGAGTTGACAGCATCAGTGGAGTCAGAGGCAGGAGGAAGAGAGGTCTGAAAAAAACAAACAAAATCCCCTTCACTTTAACTGTGTAATCAATACAAAAATCCTGTGCTAACAGCAATACTGTGCTTTTGTATGTTTGTCAAACATGGTTATTGTTATGGGGCAAGGAAATACACCGTTACCTCAGGGACAGTTTAAAGCTGCAGTAGAGATGAACTGATGATCTGAATGTGATGACATCTGCTGCAGATTGCTTCACAGGACTGCAGGACTTGTAGGATCACCATTAGTTAGCTGCACTAGCTACACCGTGGATGAACAGACAGTGACTTGAAGTAGGAGAATGTAGCTGGTTGAAAACAGGAAATAAACAGAAACATTTGTCTTGATAATCTGTGAAACTAAACATATTGAATAAATACACACATCATTACAATAAATACCTTCAGCACTGCAGCAGAGCAAAAAATATTTCTGTCTAGAGCAACTTCACCAGGTCTGCAGCAGCAAAGCTTCCTCACACAGAGAGGCTCAAGGCTCAGGGGGGCTGCATGATGTCCACCTTTGGTGAGTTCAGCTGCCTGAGTGTCTAAGCTGTTCTTCCTTTCTTAACTGGCTTGAAGAAGACCTGGGAGAAAACACTGCTGTTAAAGACGATGATATCAGCAGAGCTGTACAATAGCGTCACAAGCATTAATACAGCAGCTAAGATAACAGAAAAAATAAATGAACACAAGTTCAGTAAGACATTACCTCAGACTTTCTTGAAGAGGGGTTTATCTCTTGGAGGTTCAGCAGGAACGAGCCCAGTGAGTGACAGGTACTACAGCATCAGTTGTGCTTCAGTCTGGTGTCTGGTGGTCATTGAGAGCTGCTTCAGGACATCTGGAGCCCGATCAGGTAAAACACATGTTTGTGTAGTCCATGAGAGAACGGTCCTGGTGGGTGCTGCAGTCTGTCCAGCACAGCGGGTGATGGTTGATGAGAGCAGCAGAGGGATGGTGTGGAGGATGTCATCTCTTCTTCACCTCCGACCAAAGACTTGGTTAAACAGCAGTTAGACTGTGTCTTTGAGTTGTCCAAAGTGATGTGTTTACTTCTGGTTGACGGTTTGATAACTTTTTTCTCCTCACAGTGAGCTAGTCAGGACAGCACTAATGGTCAGGTGAAAGATGGCAGAGACAACTGAAGAAGAAGAAAAAAATACCCAAACAAAAGGAAACTTATGTTTGCTCTAGTGTACTAACAGCCACCCATGCTAAGAGAGTGGTGTAAAGTTGGGTGGAGAAAAGGGGGTTTCAGCTGGTAGGTAACAGAACATCAGAAAGTGTGTGTTCATTAGGGAACACACACTTTCTGATGGAGGTTTTTAATTTTAGCTGCTGTATACATTATTGTACACAGCAGCTGAGAGTTTTGGCCTGTGCATTGATCAATCTGCACCCACCCTCCCTATGTCCAGTCAAGTCAAGTTAAATGGATTAACTTGACTTGACTGGACTTGATAAATGCACAGGCCAAAAATTGTAATTTATAACATTTGAATAGTTGGAAAATTTTACAAGCTGAAAAATATTTTCTTTGGAAAAATTCTGAGCCATAAAAATATTTGTTGCAGTAGTAAAATTTACAATCACCGAACACATTTCAATCTGTACTGAAACTATGGCATTACATTAGCCACAGCTGCTGTAGTTTGTCTTTTCCTTAAGAGCAGTTTCCTCTATGACCTGTTGGATGAAATAACACAGTAAGTTGCATTGTGGTAACTGTAGTACGTCTGCACAATACCTGAGGAGAGACATAGCTGAGGTTGTGAGATGAAAATCAGGTCCAGCAGTGTGTTCTTGTCCGTTGTAGCAGCAGTGATCAGTTGACCATATCCCTTGGACTGAAAGAAATCCAAAATTGGCTTACTTGCATTAGAAAAGACATTCTCATTGAAGTCGCCACAGACAATGATAGGATGACAGTCCATGATCTCAAGTGAGTCCAGAAGGCTTCCCAGATTGGACAGGAATGATGGCACACTGTAGTCTGGAGGTCTGTACACAGCTGCAATCAGAGCACTTACAGGAGATTCAACCTTCAAAGCCACAAACTCAAGGTCAGTCACATTATTCAGGTACTGCTTCTCCACAACCTGCAAATGGTTTTTCACATAAACAGCAACTCCACCACCTCCTTTACTGGCCATCTGTGGAAAGTTAGTGTAGGACAAATGTCTGTTGCGTTTGAACATGGTGTAGCCCTCAAACTGGAGACTGTCTGCCACAAAGGAGCCCTGTAGGTGAGTTTCTGTCAGACACAAAACATCTGCAAGACACAGTTCATGATGGTTTTTGATGTCATTCACATGAGCAGGTAATCCTTCGGTGTTATGATGAATGATGCTCACAGTGTCCTGTCTGCTGAGAGAATGCTGGATCTGGAGAAAAGGCATGATGTGATCAAAGTTAGCTTGCCTCATGGTCTCTAAAGATAAAGTGACTGCAGGGTTAGCATAGATTTTACTGTCATCCAAATCAAGCATGTGCAGTCCGCTGAGAGAGGTCACTCGACTGATAGCTACGTAGGCCATGCCGGGCTCAAAAATGTGCTTCAGTGAGACAACAGCAGATTTTCTGGTCATACCTTGAACCTTATGGATTGTGCATGCAAAGGCAAGTTTTACAGGAAACTGTCTGCGTACCACTCCTCTCTGTTTTAGAGCCTCCTCAGATCTCTCGATGTACACAAGATTGTCTCCTCTTGTACGGTAGCTCCTGCCAGCTGTTTCATCATCCATCGTAAGTCCAAGCATAGTGACAAGAGCAGAACCATTGTTTTCAGAGCTTATGAGACGGCCTATTGTAGCAAATGATCCATTCACCAATCCTTGAGACACATCAATGTTTCTGATGAGCATGACTCTAGCACCTACTGCAACATCTAGTGTGTCAGGTAGGTCATTTCTGCTTCCATGACATGGTGCACCTTGTCTTTTCATGTGTCCAGTCTGTGGGTCTTTTTAAAGTCATCTGCATCAATGGTGGTGATATCAGAATGGTGCTGAGATAGTGTAGCAGAGTTGTGTGCTGCGACTTGTTTGTTTGTAGCAAAAATGTGCAGGACATCAGAGGGACACAGTTGTGGTTCAGTGACACGCTGTGACAGCAGAGCTCTGTCAGCTTCAGAAAGCTCATCTGACCTTGTTTTCACACGAAGTCTGTTCAGCATCTCAGCAAAAGTTTTGTCATCCTTCTGTCGCATGATCTCATCTAAAGTGATCATCTGGAAGCTGTCTCTCCAGAGGTCAAGCTCAGTTGGATCATAGACACAGAGTGGTTTGGACTGTCGCACAGGCGGTAGCTGGTAAAAGTCTCCCACAGCAATGACTGACATTCCTCCAAAGGGTTTGTGGCTGCCTTTAATCTGTTTCAGTCTGACATCCACATAGGCAAACAGAGGCTTCGACACCATGGAGATTTCATCAATGATGATGATTTCAGCATTTAAAAGCTCACACCTGATTTCATCAAGTTGGTTCCCAAGACCTTGAAAAGGAGGTTTCAAACTTCTGGGCAACTTGAGAAGAGAGTGCAGTGTTGTTCCAGAGATGTTAAAGGCTGCAGTTCCAGTGAAAGCAGTCAACAGCACAGTCGGGTTTGAGATGTCAGCTTCCTCAGCACGTCTAGGTAGTGTTCTCAGAATCTTTGATGCTTCTGAATGAATGCATTTAATGAGATGTGACTTTCCAGTGCCAGCACCACCATCAATGTAGTAGAAAAACTGCTCTGGTTGTAGTCCACAGACTCGTTTTATGCACCAGTCTCTCACTGCATAGAACACACATGCCTGTTTCTGGTTCAGACTCTGATACATTTGTCGTAACCGTGTGGGATCGATTGTAGGGGGCTCTCTCATGACTCTGGCTTCTGTAGCAGCATTTGCTTGTCTACTGTAATCAGGTACATCCTCTTGGACATTTTCATCATCACAGTGTCTTGCATCCAGTTCATCAATACACTCCAACCTCACCAGTTCAGATTCAGGTGCCAAATTACACCATTCATCGACAATACCTTTGTTTTGTTCAAAGTCCTCGAGAGCAGAGTCAATTTCCTCACTGTTTTTTTCATATCTCTCTCTGTTTCTTTTCACAATGAGTTTCACACGCAGGGGTCGGTCAGAATACGGCAGCTGAACCACACCTGTCTCGTAGAATGACTCATACGTGGGTAGATATGGTCTTTTCAGCTCATTGTCTGATCTGTATGGAAGATACAGTCTAAGCAATGTGGCGTAAAACTGCTCAGGGTATTTCTCTTTGGATATGCGGCGATACCTGATGACAGCAGCGTTGTCACTTTCTCGTCTCTGTATAAAGCCTAGTTCATTCAGCAAAGGTACCACTTTCTTGCCCTTGGTCTGTTGTCCATACACCAGTCTGCAGGTTGAAGCAAAATCAGCCATGCACATCTCTTCAAACTCTGGTGATTCAGGTCTGGATTTGTACTTGTCTGTTAAGGATGTCATCCACACATTCAAGCTGTCTGGTGTTGTGTTGTCAAGGCTTGACACAGGCAGACTCATTTTCACTGGGTTGTCATCAGTTGGGACAAAAACCACACTGCGTGAACTCTTTTTCATGTTCAGGGAAGTCACTCGGGCAACAGCTTCTTGTGCTGATACTTCTCGCTTTTTGGAATACGCCTGCATGACCGCTTTCATTTCATCACATTCATTGACACATTCTCTGTCGGAGTTCTGAATGAGTGTTTGCAGGTACTGGCTCACAGAGTTCTCACTTTTACACATGTACGTACATATGTAATGGATTAGACTGTAGTATGTGAGAATAAACTGCACATCGATGTTTGCATCCCAAGCTTTGAGCAGGTGAGGGTTGTAGGTGTTTACCCAGCAGTCTTTTGGCTCACGCTTCAGAATGATGTTGCTGGACTGACTCATCACATTCATGTGTTTCTCGTACTCATCAGCGGTTAAGTCACAGACAGACAGGAGCTGTTGAAAACTCATGGATTCAGTTTCAGGTTTATTCAGCAGCTGATTTAGAGGTGCAAGTTTCTCTTTGGCTGTCTTTAGTCTCTCTGACTCCTCATCGTCATCCACAGGTCTTGTTATCATTGTCTGTCTGGAGGGTGGTTTTGGGAATCCAAAACGGCATCCTGAACTTGCACTTTTGAAACATGTCTTTGAGTGGTTCTTACTGTGTATTTGCACTTCTTTGACCTTTTTGTACAGTTCAGGCTGTTTATTTGGGTCAGGGAGCTGAGCAGAGATGTGTTTGGACACAAAGTCACACACAGTTTTATCAGAGTCTCTCTCAAACACAGGTGCACCTTCTACCCACAAAAGACCATGAATGTGAGGACTTCCTCTGTGCTGAAACTCGAGGCGCCAAAAGAAGTCAAAAACTTTGCCCAGGGGTTGTGCAGGAGACATGATCAGATCTCTGTACAGTGCTTCAACACGCTTATCAAACATGCGCATCGTTGTCACAGGATTGCTTCTCAGAATGTCACACTTTGTGGACCAGTCAAGCTCCTCAAAATTCACTTCCTCACCTTGTTGTAATTTTATTGCAATAATCACCTCAGGCCAACGCATTTCTGCTGCAGAAAATGTGACAAAGAAAGTAGGACTGCCCAACTGTCTGATCATAGCAAACAGATCTTTTGTAGTTTTGTCCCAGTAGGCTGGTGTTCCTCTGAGCGGCTGCATAAATCTGATAGCATCTCTGTTTCTCACCAGTCTCTCCACTTCAAGTTTTTCTCTCAACATCTTGGATGTTATTTTTCGTCCATCTCTAGTCAAAGGTTTGCCTTTGCGTAACTGTATTGACATGCTGGAGGTAGCCAAGTGTATTTCAGTCACAAACTGTGCAAAGAACAGGTAGTTGGTATCTTTGGCAAAGCGATCATCAACACCAAAGAGCCTTGCTTTGAAATAACTACTGGGTGATAGTTTCATGGGTCTGTTTTCATCCAGTGTATTCTCACCAGTGGGAAACTGAACAGGGAACGCCATGGCCTCCAGTTTGGGTGTTTTGAAAAAACTGACTGGACTGTTTCTCTCTGCTGGAGCTACTGAGTATGTTGAGTCACTGAAACACAATATCTCCTCAGAAACATCCCGTGGCTGAAGGCACGACTCCAAAACAACACCACCATTAGATATGTCTGCATCCTGTTGTTGTGTCTGATCATCATTGTCCTGGGTCTGACTTTTATCACACAGCTCTGTGTTTTCATCGTCATTTTCAACATTAGTTTCAACGTCATGCATGGCAGCAGCCTCAATTCTATCAATCTTCATCAAATCCTCATCGTCATAGTCGTCATCATTCATTGTAATATCATTACCATCGTCTTCATCGTCATCCTCATCACCATCATCAGGAAGTGTGGGGTCACATAACTCCTCCTCATCTCTGATAGTTATGTCTTCATACTGGGGGTGTATCTCTTTCAGTTTATGCAGAGCTTGCACTAGCTTGGACCAGGTAACAGTCTGAAACAGATGGTGGCCTCTGTAACTCAAACGTCTCTTCAGTTTTACTCTCATCACCTGAGATTCATTTCTCAATCTGGGTAGAGCATGAATTGTCTCCTGGACTTCAGAGGGAACACATACAACATTACCATGTATAGCTCTCTGTCTGCCTTTGGGAAGAGGAATGATTTTGGCAAATGTTATGCACTTTGCTATCAGATGTCTCTCCAGTATGTTGAGGTCACACAGCTCAGGTGGAATGTCAGCAAGCTCCAAGTTGTTTGCTATGGCAAGTTTGGGCATGGATCCATTTTTCACATGGTTATGGCAGGTGTGACAAATCCACTCAGTCTTTCTCTCATCAGGGACAGTGCACTGATTTCTGCAGTTATCGTTACACTCATGGACGTACTGACCTTTGAGACAAGCTGAAACCATGATTGGATTTTTCACATAGTTGGACCTTTTGCACTTTTGCACCTGGTTTGGAAATGAGGCTTTGTGACAAACTGTGCAAACATGGGTGGGACCAGCTTTAATGTGTGATCGGAAATCACTGATGGCACTTTCAATAAGTGGGTTTTCACTCTCTCTGTCAGTCTGACGTGTTCGTTTACTTATGGCTTTATATTTCTGTGATATTTTCAATGCACATCTGGTTTTATGCATAGTCCTGTATGCAAGATTTTTCTTGTACCTGTCTCGCATCATTCGTCTCATCAGCTGTTTGTGTTGGTGGCGGAATATATCATTTGCATATCGATGATGCATAAAGGATCGCTGTCTTTGCCGGAAATTTACATCCTCTGAGTATTTTTTCCTAATATATTCTTTTTGTCTGGTTTTAAAAGCAACATTTTCTGAGTATTTTGTAGTGATATATTGTTTTTGTGTGGCTTTAAAAGCAACATTTTCTTTGTATTTTGTAGTGATATATTGTTTTTGTCTGGCTTTAAAATCAACATTGTCTTTGTATTTTTTAGTGATATATTGTTTTTGTCTGGCTTTAAAATCAACATTGTCTTTGTATTTTTTGGTGATATATTGTTTTTTTCTGTCTTTAAAATGCACATTTTCTCTGTATTTTTTGTTCAGATATTGTTTTTGTCTGTCTTTAAAATCCACATTTTCTCTGTATTTTTTTTTCAGATATTGTTTTTGTCTGTCTTTAAAATCCACATTTTCTCTGTATTTTTTGTTCAGATATTGTTTTTGTCTGTCTTTAAAATCCACATTTTCTCTGTATTTTTTGTTCAGATATTGTTTTTGTCTGTCTTTAAAATCCACATTTTCTCTGTATTTTTTGTTCATATATTGTTTTTGTCTGTTTTTAAAATCCACATTTTCTCTGTATTTCCTTGTCATGTATAATTTTTGCTTCAGTCTGAAGTCTGTGCTTTCCCTGTATTTACTCCTGATATTTTGTCTTTTCTTTGTCTGTATTTCAGGATTGACAGAATATCTGCTCATTGAATAACATTTTTTCTTTGCTTTATATGTTTCATCCTTGGCATACTTTTCTCTCTCTTTCCTTTTTTGATTGTCTTTCTTTTGTGGTGTCTTTTGAGGTGTCATTACTCTCCTCAGAATTTTTTTCTTTTGTGCTTTGTTCAGTTTTGACAGTGTACTGGAGATATCATTGAGGACATTGTCACTGGTGACAGGGTTATTTATTAATGCTTGTGTGAAATTTGATTGTGTGTCCTGAATTTGCTGTAATTTGAAAGAGTTATTGCTGATTTGCTCAGGTTGATGTGCTTGTGTTTCTATCAGGGTTGAGAGGTCATGAGAGTCATCAGTTACAGTGGTGGTAATCTGTGGAGCAAGAGATTCAGGTCCAGTTAATGTGACAGAACACTGGCTGAACTCCGTCAGTTGTTCCTGTTCAGTTTCCATGTCATGCTCAGTGTTTTCATGAACATCAGTGTTCATCTGTGGAGCACTTGTGTCATCATTTATCACAGTGGTTATTACAGAGGAACTTGTACACATACCTTCTGTGGCTGGGATATCATGATTTGGGTTCACATCATAAAACACAACTGGTTTCAGCTCATACTTACAGGACTCTGGGGTCGACAATATGTGGTGATAACTGATCAACCTGTGAATCATGTCACTGAGTCGTGTAAATGTGACCATGACTGCAGTGCCAGGAGTACTTCTAGGCTGGAGTCGAGGCAAACCATGAGGTGTCCTAGCATGTGGGTCAAAGAAACCATATCTGCCACTTCTGGTCCTGAAAACTGCAATGCACAGTGAAGCCATCAGCAGCAAAGCATACTGCACATCTGATAATAAGCAGCTCAGTCCCATCTCGAGGTCCAGAAAGGTATCAACAGCTCCGGGATCCGGATCTCCAAATGTACCGTATCTAGACAGCTGTAACATGTCAACTCTCTGCATGTGACTGCGTGCAGGTACCCACTTAGGCAGCTCATCAGTTGTGAGATGGATGTGATTACGAACTGTTTTTCTGACTTGTTTATACACCACATTGCCTTTATCCAAAATACGGTCTAGGTCTGCTCTGGTGATGTTTTCATTCTCATACAGGAATGCTAGAAATGTCAGTGAGTTACAGGTGCACTGCTTGTTTCTGGATCGTCCATATTTCAGAGATGCTTGACTGCGTGAGGCACACACACTTTGTTCTCCTGACTGGTATGCAGTGTTTACATTTTCATGTCGAGAAGAGCCTGATACATTTACATCACTACAGTTCTTTCCAATGTCTGCATTCGGTACCTGAGTGGAACATGACTCAACACTTTTGGCTACGTAGTTTGCTTGACAGTTGGATGGACCAGCAGTACATGACACACTAGGAAGTTTTGTTTTCAACATGTTTGCACATGTTACCTGTTGTACATCTGGATCATTGCTTTGACTTCTGTGCTTTATCGCTCCACAATCAGACGGGCCTGCTATGGGAGGTTCATATACATTCCTTTTAGACACATCTGCATCAGATACCTGTGATAAACATGATGCACTTTGACCTCCCTGGTTAACAGTGTTAACATCAGATACCATAGCCTTCCTTGTCTCTGCACTGATCTGAGGAGCACAATCTGCTTGTTCAGTAGTTACACAATCAATGTCACGTGTCCTCTGCCAGCGCTCACTTGCAGCCTGTGACCTCTTACTTTTCCTAGGCATTGTAGCTATCCTTTGACAACAATGATTTTATACAACAAAGTCAAGTTATTGATTACACCAGAGTGGACAGAAATGCTTTATTGTTTTCAGAAAGTACGTTATTTAACAGAAACAAAAATCAATAGCAAATGTTTAGATGTCAGGACTTTTTTGTTAAAATAAAATTAAAGTCAAAAATATGAAAGGTATATTTTTCAAACTCAAAATCAATGAGGCAGGAGCGGTGATGGTGATGAAACTTCTTCAGGTGAAACTGTAGAGCCACACAATGGAAAGGAAGAACTACAAGAAAAATAACACTTGTGCAAAATTAGTGCTTTTTTATAACAGTAGTTGTTTTAAAAGTACAGCTGTTTCAAAGATTGTGATGTTTCCGATTTTGCACTTTCAAAGATTTTGCTGTTTCAAAAGTATTGCTTTTACACGCGATCAGTTGAAAAAAAAAGCTTGTTTCCAAAAAGTGTTCTCAAAGTGTCTGAATGCCTCTTTTTAAGGCTCTAAAAGTGGTAGAAAGGCTGTCAAAGGCAGTCAAAGCCTTTCTTAAAGGCTTTCACAACGGTTTTTAAAGGCTGTCAAAGGCTGTGGTAAAGGCTTTCAAAATAGGTTGTAAAGGCTGGCAATAGCTGTTCAAATAGTCAGAGTTGGATAGAGGAGAGATAGAAAGGCAGAATGTCCAAAATGATAGGAGAGAGTGGAGGGACAGTACAGGATATCTGTAAGAAAAATGGAAATAAATATTAATAATTTGTATGAAATATAATAAAAACATTGAAATCAACCGACATTCACCCGAAACTAATGTCATTATAATGTGCTTTCATTCAAAGTAACATATGGGAATTCTGAATACACATCTATTCAAAGTGTAGTTGAGTCAAATGCTGAAACTGAGCATTGTTATTTGATCATCTTTTGAAAAATGTATCAGGGCTGAACATATAAAATGTTACTAAATAGATGAAGAAATGTATGTACGAGCTCAGTGTATTTTACGAAAAGATGTATCACCCACTTATCTTGAATGCTTATATAAATCAATGTTAATTGCCTTAATAATAATGTTCATAAGCATGTGATGAAATATCATGTGTACGAAAGTAACCTCAATTGTGTAGAAACTACAGAAAGAGAGGTGTGTGTAAAATGTGTACAATAAAAGCACACAGTGATATTCATAAAAATGTCATTCATGTATAAACTTACACTGACTGGCAAGCGGTCTGCACTTAAACACAAGGTAGAGTCACTAGGAGGGGAAATGGAAAAATACAGATGAAACATTTAGAGTTTCATTGTCAAAAAACAAAACATGACACTGTAATAAACATTCAATTGTTATCAAGCAGCAAACGTATTAACATTAGGTTCAGCTTGACTTAAGATAAGGCATAGTTTGAAATGGGTAATGTTACAATTCAGTGAAAAGATGCAGCAGTTTGTGAAATTATGACATGATGTACAGTTTTACATAATGTGTTGTAAAAAAAATTTATTCACACATTAACATGTATTTGTGTTAGTGAACTTTCAGCTGAGTTGGCCACAATGGTCTGCATTAAAGAGATAGAATAGCCAATTTCAGAAGCAGTGAAATTATAGAGGAGGAAAATGTAAATGTAGTTGCAAAACAATGATTATGTCATACTTAATTGATGGCACAACCATTTTTCATTGACAATCATTAGTTTTGTAATTTCTAATCCAAGTTCATGTTTTATACCACATAATGACTGGAAAGATTATAGTGAAGCAACCTTGGCCTGAAAAACATGAAGCTTAAAATGTAGAAAACAGATATTTAATACTCTTTAAAATAAACAGCCTCACAGCTCACTTCATTCACTCATTTTCCCAAATGATTTTCCCTCATCATTATTATGAAAATGAAGTCACACTTTCCCAGCAAGTTGAAATGTTTTGAATAAACAAATGTAGTTGTGTGGTAACATTGTTAACACAGTTGTCCACCAGGAAAAAATGTATCCAATATATATATATATATATATATATATATGTATAATAGGAGATATGCAGTAGTGATAGAGAAAGATCAACATTTAATATGTAATTAAAGTCAGTCTTTATTAGATGCATCATCTGTTGAAATATATGTCTCATGAGTTGTTGTTTACCAGGATAAAGCAAAACATTCATCCAGCTAATTTTTAGAGTACGATGTCACTTTTGGTAATAACACTTCTACTTACCAATAAACGCACGGGAGTGGTATAATCTTCTGTTTGTTTGAGACAAAAAACAATACATTAATGCTATCTGTCAGATACATAGTACATTAAAACAGCAGGCCTATGAGAAAAGCAACATTATTAGTCATAATAGTAATAGAAAATGAAACAGCTCTAAAACATCACCTCACTGTTAGCTACAGCTTAAAATGTCACAGAATACATTTTATGAATTATTTCAAACTCATATAAAGGTAACATACGGTACAGTAGTACATAAATTTCAGGAGCAGCTACTGAAGCAAATACAGAGGAGGAGCTGGTTCACAAGCTTCAAGGCAGCTTACAACCCATCCATTAAATGTATATGTATTTGAACTTGTGGTTGTAGAGCATATATGTCGATAATGTGATGTTTGACATTGCAAATATCTATATCATTACCATCATGAACAACCCTCTCAATAATTAGAACAGCATGTTGTATTATTTTAACACATAAAAAATATAATTTCAAATGTGTTACAACTAGGTGCTTGGTAAAGATAACCTGTATTAGCAAAAATATCTACAAAATTGATAGAAAGTAATCAGGAGCTTAACAGCTAACATCCCCGTGTCAATGACCCAACTGTTAATATGACAAAGTAACAGTAATCAACAGTCTGTTACCTTTAGCAACGGCGGTACCGTCACAATCGTCTCCCATTAACAAATGCTTTACAATAGCAGTATCCCCATCGCTACCAACATTAATGAACTTTTTAAAGTAAATATTAACTGGCACGGTGTATAACATGACGGCAGCTCACAAATTGAGTCAATATTGTGTATTTCAGCAAGCACATGACTCAGCCTTATTAACAGTAGCCTATGCTGTTAGCTTTAGCGTTAGCTCGACGCTAATAGCTTTAGCGTTATATTGTTCAACAGTATCATATGTATTGTACGCATTTTCAAGTCAATATCCCAACCACTCACATCCTCTTAATGAAATATAAGTCAAACCAGTGTCATGTAGAAACGTGAAATTCTCATTTGTAGTGTCTGGACGTTAACAGAGACTGTGCATCGACTTACCTGAGCAGAGTCTGACACAGAATACCGTGGGTTCACACAGACACACAGTTGACGTCTTTGAGACATTCAGGAACACTCGGACATGTCAGTGTTGAAAACACATTACGGTATTATGCTGCCAAAGAATGTTTATTTACTTGCGTGTGCACGCTTGCATGCGTGTCTGTGTCAATAAGCCCAATTTCAGCAGAACTTTGAAAACTGGTCACCTGCTGGCTTAGCGTTAGAGTCGGATATTTGTCCTGCACATATACAAATAAAAGACATTTGTAGGAAACGTACAAAGAAGCTGAAAAATTACCTTTAATTGTACAAAAGTTGTATAAAGCTGACAATAAACTTTAAGTACAGGAAATAAAGAAGGGATATATATAGTAGTTATCATATAAGTAGTAATAAAGTGACACTCATACTGACATTATTATTAGCAGAAGTATAATGAAAAGACGTGTGCAGTCTGCATCTCAACATAGTAAGTTGTTAAGGCATAACAGCATCATCTAGTAGCATGCTTCAGTTACTGCACTACATACGATTGTACAAAATATTAAAGAGCTAAAGTTAAAGTAATTATATAAATGTAGACTGTAAAGAGAAGCAGAAGTAGAGGAATAAGAAGTAGTTTGTATGTTACAACAATTAAACACCAAAACTATAGGAACATAGTAAGTATTACGGGTGTACCTCCTATAAACAGAAAGACAGCAGTCCACACACGGATCCAGTGTGTGCGCGCGGCCGTGCCTGACTCTTGTGAGCAAAGCACACTGCCAATGACAAGTGCTACTATCGAGAATGAAGTAGAAACCGTGTAAACTTCTTCACCTAGCACAATTTCCTTAAGTGGTATCCCAAAAAATAAGAACATCTTGGGAATCCTGACACTGTTATACTGACAATACTGTATTTTTCATGCCAATAGTGTAAAAAATGTGGCAACAACAGCGAGTTAAAACACGGCTTGTATGTAGTAATTGTCAGGGTTTCTTGGCCGGAATTTAACATGGGAGTCGAAGGGCAGCATCGCTGCACTCCGGTGGTATATACTCAGCTCCTGGGCAAGCTGTACAATTTGATGACTTTTTTATGAGTATTTTGTGAGAAGCAGGACCAGTGTACCTCCATTTTGATGTGTTTTTTATGGCTGTGGAGTGAAACTTGCGGCCGCGGCAGCAAAATAAACACGCTTGGTCTACTGAATCCAAAAGGCTCCGGCCGCATCTAGCGGTGACGTAACATCTGACGTCACACGCTGTAGCGTGAGTCAGGCTGAAAAAGGCAGAAGACTTCATGTTGCTCCAAGCGAAATTGTGCAAAAACGGTAGGAAATAGCAAAAAGGAGTGAATACAACATTTGTAGCAGACATGTTGCTGAACATTTTAAAGCAAAAATGAGGTCTGTAGGTGAAAGTATGCAGAAGTTATAAGGGTGAGAAGGTGTTATAGCTGTATCTCCATTCATTTGTAATGGAACAAATTTTGCAGAAAAAGTGAAATATTGCAAAAAGTATAAATGGTAGAAAGGTGAAAAGTAATAGCAATAATGTCCTGAAGGAGTGCATTAGTATAAAGTTTGAATGGTTAAAATAGCACAAAGTGGTAAGGAGTTGAAAAGGGCCAAAAAAGGTACGGAAGAATAATAATAAAAATAATAAAAATAATAATAATAATAATAAAGAAATAGTAGAATAACAATAAGTGGAAATGCTGTGTCAGCATTTCCACTTAATAATAAAGAAATAGTAGAATAACAATAAGTGGAAATGCTGTGTCAGCATTTCCACTTAACTAGAAAAATTGCATTTCCTTGCAGAAAATGCGTGGAAATGCTGAGTGCTGAAAGCTGAAAAAGCAATGCTAAACTGCTAATAAAACATGGAGAAAGGTATAAATGTTAAAGCTGTTGAAGGGGTGAAAAAGAAATATAAGTTGGATAATAGTTTAATTGGTTGAAGGACAAATAGTATGAATATGCTCTATAAAAGGAAATTTTATTCATGCTGAAAGAGGCTAGAAAAATGTCGAAAATTGCACAAAGTTTGAATGAAGAAGGAAACTGCCTTTAAAGGCAGGAAGGTGAGAAGTGGCATAAGTTTAAGTTGTAGTACTAGAAGAAGTATGATAAGAAGTCAAGTCGTGATACTAGTAGTCATGTCAGCAGTAGAAGTAGATTGAGAATAAAAGAAGTATAAGTCAAAGTAGTAAAGAAAGTAGAAATAGTAGCAATAGCAGCAGTAGAGAAAGTAGAAATAGGAGCAATAGCAGTTGAAGTAGAGGGGAAAGTTCTAGTTTAATTGACATAAGTAGTTGTAGTACTAGAGGTAGGATTTTGTTTGAAGGACGGATTAATGCATAAATATTAAAAATAATATAAAACAGGGAAAATTTTATTAATTAAAAATCCTCAAGTATCAGACAGTTTTTAAGTATTAGAAAGGTTTGAATCATTTTGAATGAGTTTAAATTAGTTTGAAAAATTAAATGATAAATTATCACTGAGTGACTTTAAAATGTGAAACATTTAAATGAATATAAATCCTAAATACACCCCATAATGTCCTCAATGAGCTTAAATTTTAAAGCCCTGAATGGTTTCTGTAGGTCAAAGGTCATGTGAGGAGATAGGGGCTGAAGGTTTTTCAAGCGCTCTAGGAAAGGGTTTTAAGTGTCATCCCCAGTGCTATGTGTACTGAGCCTGGCTTCATGTGTCTCATATGGCCATTAGAAGCAGCTTTCCAGTCAGCTGTGTGTCTCCAGGTGCACAAATTGGTTGCCATGGGGACCTTGGATGAATAACTATAGCAGGAGAAAGAAGGCTTGAAGCTAAGGAAACAGGACTCCAAGTAGGCCCTGACGCTCATCCTCTGTATAAATTCATAAGGAGCTTGTGAGAACACAAGACTTTGCTGAACACATTAATACAATTTATTATCACAATCCTCAAAACACCCCATAATATCTTCAATGAGCTGAATTTTTGAAGCCCAGAATGGTTTCTGTAGCTCAAAGTTTGTGGGTGGAGATAGGTGGTGAAGCAGACACATATTATCTGTGTGTACAAGCAGGTGAACTGCAAGGTAGACCTGACAATGCAACAAGTACAAGAATGTGTGCGTGTGTGTGTGTGTCTCATTAATGACTGCATCCCTAACAGCTGTGAGATCAAAGGCAAATCACTGACCTACTGTTTGAATGAGAAGCAGCTGAACAGCAGAGGATTTGAAGCCTGTGAACTTCTTCACATAGCGTGATTTCCTTAAGTCACAGAATGAAAATAAGAACATCGTACGAATCCTCCGCCCTTCATGAACACAATGAAGTATTTTTCATGTCTGTACTCCGACAAATGTGGCCACAACAGCGAGTTAAAAAAGTCTGAGCCTGAGCGATGATCCGGATTTTCTTGGAGAAAATTAACATTACGGTCAATGGGAGAGATTTCCGCCTTCTTTGGACAGTTGGTCACCTGCTGGCCAAGGGGTACGATTTAATGATTTGAAACCTCTTTTGTGAGAAGCAGGACACATATACCTCCATTTTGATGTATTATTTGTGTCAGTGGAGTGAGATTTGTGGGCGTGGGAGCGATATATTCGAGCGAGGTTCTGTCGATCAGAGACGAGGTCTGCACTCTAGCTGATGACATCATCACTCTAAACTCTCCAATACACACCCATTATAAAGCTTGAAATTTGCTGAAAACCACAAGTTGCTTAAAGCTAAATTGTGGAAAAACTGTAAGAGATGTCAAAAAACTGAGTACAACTGTAATAGTCGACAAGTGAATGAACATTTTAAAGCAAAAATGAGGTCTCTAGGTGAAAGTATGCTGAAGTTATAAGGTCTAGAAGGTGGAAGAAAAAAAGGAAGAATTGGAAGATTTCCCCATTGACTTCAATGTTAAAATTTTTTGCACAAAAAGTTAAAAAAAACAAAAAGTATAAATGTTAGAAAAGTGAAAAGTAATAGCAAACGTGTCCTGAAGGAGTGGAATAGTTTAAAGTTTGAACGGTTGAAATCGCACAAACTGGGAAGGAGTTGAAAGCGGACGAAAAACGGCGGAAGAATAATAATAATAATAAAGAAACGGGAGAATAACAATAAGTGGAAATGCTTAATCAGCATTTCCACTTAATAATAATAACTAGAAAAATTGCATTTCCTTGCAGAAATTGCGTGGAAATGCTGAGTGCTGAAAGCTGAAAAAGCAATGCTAAACTGCTAAGAAAACATGGAGAAAGGTATAAATGTTAAAGCTTTTGAAGGGGTGAAAAAGAAATATAAGTTGGATAATGGTTTAATTGGTTGAAGGACAAATAGTATGAATATGCTCTATAAAAGGAAATTTGATTCATGCTGAATGAGGCTAGAAAAATGTCTAAAATTGCACAAAGTTTGAATGAAGAAGGAAATTGCCTTAAAAGGCAGGAAGGTGAGAAGTGGCATTAGTTTAAGTTTTAGTACTAGAAGTAGTATGATAAGAGGTCAAGTCGTGATACTAGTAGTCGTGTCAGCAGTAGAAGTAGTTTGAGAATAAAAGAAGTATAAGTCAAAATAGTAGAGAAAGTAGAAACAGTAGCAATAGCAGTTGAAGTAGAGAAAGTAGAAATAGGAGCAATAGCAGTTGAAGTAGAGGGGAAAGTACTAGTTCAATTGACATTAGCAGTAGTTGTCGTACTTGAGGTAGGATTTTGTTTGAAGGATGGAGTAATGCATGAATATTAAAACTAATTGAAAACATGGAAAATTTAAATACTTAAAAATCCTCAAGTATCAGTTTGAATGAGTTTAAATTAGTTTGAAAAATTAAATGATAAATCATCAATGAGTGACTTATAAAAGTGAAAAATGTAAATAAATAAAAATCCTGAATACACCCCATAATGTCCTCAATGAGCTTAAATTTTAAAGCCCTGAATGGTTTCTGTAGGTCAAAGGTCATGTGAGGAGATAGGGGCTGAAGTTTTTTCAAGCGCTCTAGGAAAGGGTTTTAAGTGTCATCCCCAGTGCTATGTGTACTGAGCCTGGCTTCATGTGTCTCATTTGGCCATTAGAAGCAGCTTTCCAGTCAGCTGTGTGTCTCCAGGTGCACAAATTGGTTGCCATGGGGACCTTGGATGCATAACTTTAGCAGGAGAAAGAAGGCTTGAAGCTAAGGAAACAGGACTCCAAGTAGGCCCTGACGCTCATCCTCTGTATCTATTCCTGATAAGGAGCTTGTGAGAACACAAGACTCTGCTAAACACATTAATACAATTTATTATCACAATCCTCAAAACACCCCATAATATCTTCAATGAGCTGAATTTTAGAAGCCCAGAATGGTTTCTGTAGCTCAAAGTTTGTGGGTGGAGATAGGTGGCGAAGCAGACACATATTAACTGTGTGTACAAGCAGCTGAACTGCAAGGTAGACCTCATAAAGCAACAAGTACAAGAATGTGTGTGTGTGTGTGTGTGTGTGTCGTTAATGACTGCATCCTAAACAGCTGTGAGATCAAAGGCAAATCACTGACCTACTGTTTGACTGAGAGGTGCTGAACTGCTGAGGATTTGTAGCCTCTGAACTTCTTCACATAGCGTGATTTCCTTAAATCCCAGAATGAAAATAAGAACATCGTACGAATCCTCCGCCCTTCATGAACACAATGATGTGTTTTTCATGTCTGTACTTCGAAAAATGAGGCCACAACAGCGAGTTAAAAAAGTCTGAGCCTGAGCGATGATCCGGATTTTCTTGGAGAAAAATAACATTACGGTCAATGGGAGAGATTTCCGCCTTCCTTGGACAGTTGGTCACCTGCTGGCCAAGGGGTACGATTTAATGATTTGAAACCTCTTTTGTGAGAAGCAGGACACATATACCTCCATTTTGATGTATTATTTGTGTCAGTGGAGTGAGATTTGTGGGCGTGGGAGCGATATATTCGAGCGAGGTTCTGTCGATCAGAGACGAGGTCTGCACTCTAGCTGATGACATCATCACTCTAAACTCTCCAATACACACCCATTATAAAGCTTGAAATTTGCTGAAAACCACAAGTTGCTTAAAGCTAAATTGTGGAAAAACTGTAAGAGATATCAAAAAACTGAGTACAACTGTAATAGTCGACAAGTGAATGAACATTTTAAAGCAAAAATGAGGTCTCTAGGTGAAAGTATGCTGAAGTTATAAGGTCTAGAAGGTGGAAGAATAAAAGGAAGAATTGGAAGATTTCCCCATTGACTTCAATGTTAAAATTTTTGCACAAAAAGTTAAAAAAAACAAAAAGTATAAATGTTAGAAAAGTGAAAAGTAATAGCAAACGTGTCCTGAAGGAGTGGAATAGTTTAAAGTTTGAATGGTTGAAATCGCACAAACTGGGAAGGAGTTGAAAGCGGACGAAAAACGGCGGAAGAATAATAATAATAACTAGAAAAATTGCATTTCCTTGCAGAAAATGCGTGGAAATGCTGAGTGCTGAAAGCTGAAAAAGCAATGCAAAACTGCTAATAAAACATGGAGAAATGTATAAATGTTAAAGCTGTCTAAGGGGTGTGAAAGAAATGTAAGTTGGATAATTGATTAATTGGTTGAAGGACAAATAGTATGAATATGCTCTATAAAAAGAAATTTTATTCATGCTGAAAGAGGCTAGAAAAATGTCTAAAATTGCACAAAGTTTGAATGAAGAAGGAAATTGCCTTAAAAGGCAGGAAGGTGAGAAGTGCCATAAGTTTAATTTTTTAAGTATTAGAAAGGTTTGAATCAGTTTGAATCAGTTCAAATTAGTTTGAAAAATTAAATGATAAATCATCACTGAGTGACTTTAAAATGTGAAAAATCTAAATGTATATAAATCCTAAATACACCCCATAATGTCCTCAATGAGCTCAAATTTTAAAGCCCTGAATGGTTTCTGTAGGTCAAAGGTCATGTGAGGAGATAGGGGCTGAAGTTTTTTCAAGCACTCTAGTAAAGGGTTTTAAGTGTCATCCCCAGTGCTATGTGTGCTGAGCCTGGCTTCATGTGTCTCATATGGCCATTAGAAGCAGCTTTCCAGTCAGCTGTGTGTCTCCAGGTGCACTAATTGGTTGCCATGGGGACCTTGGATGCATAACTATAGCAGGAGAAAGAAGGCTTGAAGCTAAGGAAACAGGACTCCAAGTAGGCCCTGACGCTCATCCTCTGTATCTATTCCTGATAAGGAGCTTGTGAGAACACAAGACTCTGCTAAACACATTAATACAATTTATTATCACAATCCTCAAAACACCCCATAATATCTTCAATGAGCTGAATTTTTGAAGCCCAGAATGGTTTCTGTAGCTCAAAGTTTGTGGGTGGAGATAGGTGGCGAAGCAGACACATATTAACTGTGTGTACAAGCAGCTGAACTGCAAGGTAGACCTCATAAAGCAACAAGTACAAGAATGTGTGTGTGTGTGTGTGTGTGTGTGTGTGTGTCTCGTTAATGACTGCATCCTAAACAGCTGTGAGATCAAAGGCAAATCACTGACCTACTGTTTGAATGAGAAGCAGCTGAACTGCAGAGGATTTAGAGGCTCTAAACTTCTTCACATAGCGTGATTTCCTTAAGTCACAGAATGAAAATAAGAACATCGTACGAATCCTCCGCCCTTCATGAACACAATGATGTATTTTTCATGTCTGTACTCCGACAAATGTGGCCACAACAGCGAGTTAAAAAAGTCTGAGCCTGAGCGATGATCCGGATTTTCTTGGAGAAAAATAACATTATGGTCAATGGGAGAGATTTCCGCCTTCTTTGGACAGTTGGTCACCTGCTGGCCAAGGGGTACGATTTAATGATTTGAAACCTCTTTTGTGAGAAGCAGGACACATATACCTCCATTTTGATGTATTATTTGTGTCAGTGGAGTGAGATTTGTGGGCGTGGGAGCGATATATTCGAGCGAGGTTCTGTCGATCAGAGACGAGGTCTGCACTCTAGCTGATGACATCATCACTCTAAACTCTCCAATACACACCCATTATAAAGCTTGAAATTTGCTGAAAACCACAAGTTGCTTAAAGCTAAATTGTGGAAAAACTGTAAGAGATATCAAAAAACTGAGTACAACTTTAATAGTCGACAAGTGAATGAACATTTTAAAGCAAAAATGAGGTCTCTAGGTGAAAGTATGCTGAAGTTATAAGGTCTAGAAGGTGGAAGAATAAAAGGAAGAATTGGAAGATTTCCCCATTGACTTCAATGTTAAAATTTTTGCACAAAAAGTTAAAAAAAACAAAAAGTATAAATGTTAGAAAAGTGAAAAGTAATAGCAAACGTGTCCTGAAGGAGTGGAATAGTTTAAAGTTTGAACGGTTGAAATCGGACAAACTGGGAAGGAGTTGAAAGCGGACGAAAAACGGCGGAAGAATAATAATAATAATAATAATAATAATAATAAAGAAACGGGAGAATAACAATAAGTGGAAATGCCTATCAGCATTTCCACTTAACTAGAAAAATTGCATTTCCTTGCAGAAAATGCGTGGAAATGCTGAGTGCTGAAAGCTGAAAAAGCAATGCTAAACTGCTAATAAAACATGGAGAAAGGTATAAATGTTAAAGCTGTTGAAGGGGTGAACAGAAATATAAGTTGGATAATTGATTAATTGGTTGAAGGACAAATAGTATGAATATGCTCTATAAAAGGAAATTTTATTCATGCTGAAAGAGGCTAGAAAAATGTCTAAAATTGCACAAAGTTTGAATGAAGAAGGAAATTGCCTTAAAAGGCAGGAAGGTGAGAAGTGGCATAAGTTTAATTTTTTAAGTATTAGAAAGGTTTGAATCAGTTTGAATGAGTTTAAATTAGTTTGAAAAATTAAATGATAAATCATCACTGAGTGACTTTAAAATGTGAAAAATTTAAATGAATATAAATCCTAAATACACCCCATAATGTCCTCAATGAGCTCAAATTTTAAAGCCCTGAATGGTTTCTGTAGGTCAAAGGTCATGTGAGGAGATAGGGGCTGAAGTTTTTTCAAGCGCTCTAGGAAAGGGTTTTAAGTGTCATCCCCAGTGCTATGTGTACTGAGCCTGGCTTCATGTGTCTCATATGGCCATTAGAAGCAGCTTTCCAGTCAGCTGTGTGTCTCCAGGTGCACAAATTGGTTGCCATGGGGACCTTGGATGCATAACTATAGCAGGAGAAAGAAGGCTTGAAGCTAAGGAAACAGGACTCCAAGTAGGCCCTGACGCTCATCCTCTGTATCTATTCCTGATAAGGAGCTTGTGAGAACACAAGACTCTGCTGAACACATTAATACAATTTATTATCACAATCCTCAAAACACCCCATAATATCTTCAATGAGCTGAATTTTAGAAGCCCAGAATGGTTTCTGTAGCTCAAAGTTTGTGGGTGGAGATAGGTGGTGAAGCAGACACATATTAACTGTGTGTACAAGCAGCTGAACTGCAAGGTAGACCTCATAAAGCAACAAGTACAAGAATGTGTGTGTGTGTGTGTGTGTGTGTGTCGTTAATGACTGCATCCTAAACAGCTGTGAGATCAAAGGCAAATCACTGACCTACTGTTTGAATGAGAAGCAGCTGAACTGCAGAGGATTTAGAGGCTCTAAACTTCTTCACATAGCGTGATTTCCTTAAGTCCCAGAATGAAAATAAGAACATCGTACGAATCCTCCGCCCTTCATGAACACAATGATGTCTTTTTCATGTCTGTACTTCGAAAAATGAGGCCACAACAGCGAGTTAAAAAAGTCTGAGCCTGAGCGATGATCCGGATTTTCTTGGAGAAAAATAACATTATGGTCAATGGGAGAGATTTCCGCCTTTTTTGGACAGTTGGTCACCTGCTGGCCAAGGGGTAGGATTTAATGATTTGAAACCTCTTTTGTGAGAAGCAGGACACATATACCTCCATTTTGATGTATTATTTGTGTCAGTGGAGTGAGATTTGTGGGCGTGGGAGCGATATATTCGAGCGAGGTTCTGTCGATCAGAGACGAGGTCTGCACTCTAGCTGATGACATCATCACTCTAAACTCTCCAATACACACCCATTATAAAGCTTGAAATTTGCTGAAAACCACAAGTTGCTTAAAGCTAAATTGTGGAAAAACTGTAAGAGATATCAAAAAACTGAGTACAACTATAATAGTCGACAAGTGAATGAACATTTTAAAGCAAAAATGAGGTCTCTAGGTGAAAGTATGCTGAAGTTATAAGGTCTAGAAGGTGGAAGAATAAAAGGAAGAATTGGAAGATTTCCCCATTGACTTCAATGTTAAAATTTTTGCACAAAAAGTTAAAAAAAACAAAAAGTATAAATGTTAGAAAAGTGAAAAGTAATAGCAAACGTGTCCTGAAGGAGTGGAATAGTTTAAAGTTTGAACGGTTGAAATCGCACAAACTGGGAAGGAGTTGAAAGCGGACGAAAAACGGCGGAAGAATAATAATAATAATAATAATAATAATAATAAAGAAACGGGAGAATAACAATAAGTGGAAATGCCTATCAGCATTTCCACTTAACTAGAAAAATTGCATTTCCTTGCAGAAAATGCGTGGAAATGCTGAGTGCTGAAAGCTGAAAAAGCAATGCTAAACTGCTAATAAAATGTTGAGAAAGGTTTAAATGTTAAAGCTGTTGAAGGGGTGAAAAAGAAATATAAGTTGGATAATGGTTTAATTGGTTGAAGGACAAATAGTATGAATATGCTCTATAAAAGGAAATTTTATTCATGCTGAAAGAGGCTAGAAAAATGTCTAAAATTGCACAAAGTTTGAATGAGGAAGGAAATTGCCTTAAAAGGCAGGAAGGTGAGAAGTGGCATAAGTTTAAGTTGTAGTACTAGAAGTAGTATGATAAGAGGTCAAGTCGTTATACTAGTAGTCATGTAAGCAGTAGAAGTAGTTTGAGAATAAAAGAAGTATAAGTCAAAGCAGTAAAGAAAGTAGAAATAGTAGCGATAGCAGCAGTAGAGAAAGTAGAAATAGGAGCAATAGCAGTTGAAGTAGAGGGGAAAGTACTAGTTTAATTGACATTAGCAGTAGTTGTAGCTCTGGAGGTAGGATTTTGTTTGAAGGATGGAGTAATGCATAAATATTAAAACTAATTTAAAACATGGAAAATTTAAATAATTAAAAATCCTCAAGTATCAGAAAGTTTTAAAGTATTAGAAAGGTTTGAATCAGTTTGAATGAGTTAAAATTAGTTTGAGAAATTAAATGATAAATCATCACTGAGTGACTTTAAAATGTGAAAAATTTAAATGACTATAAATCCTAAATACACCCCATAATGTCCTCAATGAGCTTAAATTTTAAAGCCCTGAATGGTTTCTGTAGGTCAAAGGTCATGTGAGGAGATAGGGGCTGAAGTTTTTTCAAGCGCTCTAGGAAAGGGTTGTAAGTGTCATCCCCAGTGCTATGTGTACTGAGCCTGGTTTCATGTGTCTCATATGGCTATTAGAAGAAGCTTTCAAGTCAGCTGTGTGTCTCCAGGTGCACTAATTGGTTGCCATGGGGACCTTGGATGCATAACTATAGCAGGAGAAAGAAGGCTTGAAGCTAAGGAAACAGGACTCCAAGTAGGCCCTGAAACTCATCCTCTGTATATATTCATGATAAGGAGCTTGTGAGAACACAAGACTCTGCTGAACACATTAATACAATTTATTATCACAATCCTCAAAACACCCCATAATATCTTCAATGAGCTGAATTTTTCAAGCCCAGAATGGTTTCTGTAGCTCAAAGTTTGTGGGTGGAGATAGGTGGTGAAGCAGACACACATTATCTGTGTGTACAAGCAGGTGAACTGCAAGGTAGACCTGACAATGCAACAAGTACAAGAATGTGTGTGTGTGTGTGTGTGTGTCTCATTAATGACTGCATCCCTAACAGCTGTGAGATCAAAGGCAAATCACTGACCTACTGTTTGAATGAGAAGCAGCTGAACAGCAGAGGTTTTGAAGCCTGTGAACTTCTTCACATAGCACGATTTCCTTAAGTCCCAGAATGAAAATAAGAACATCGTACGAATCCTCCGTCCTTCATGAACACAATGATGTGTTTTTCATGTCTGTACTCCGAAAAATGTGGCCACAACAGCGAGTTAAAAAAGTCTGAGCCTGAGTAACGATAAGGATTTTCTTGGAGAAGAAATACATTAGGGCCAATGGGGAGATATTTGCGCTTATTTGGACAGTTGGTCACCTGCTGGCCAAGGGGTACGATTTAATGATTTGAAAACTCTTTTGTGAGAAGCAGGACACATATACCTCCATTTTGATGTATTATTTGTGTCAGTGGAGTGAGATTTGTGGGCGTGGGAGCGATATATTCGAGCGAGGTTCTGTCGATCAGAGACGAGGTCTGCACTCTAGCTGATGACATCATCACTCTAAACTCTCCAATACACACCCATTATAAAGCCTGAAATTTGCTGAAAACCACAAGTTGCTTAAAGCTAAATTGTGGAAAAACTGTAAAAGATATCAAAAAACTGAGTACAACTATAATAGTCGACAAGTGAATGAACATTTTAAAGCAAAAATGAGGTCTCTAGATGAAAGTATGCTGAAGTTATAAGGTCTAGAAGGTGGAAGAATGAAAGGAAGAAGTTGAAGATTTCCCCATTGACTTCAATGTTAAAATTTTTGCACAAAAAGTTAAAAAAAACAAAAAGTATAAAGGGTAGAAAGAAAAAAAATAGACGCCATCATGTCCTGAAGGAGTGGAATAGTTTAAAGTTTGAACGGTTGAAATCGGACAAAGTTTGAAGGAGGAGAAGCGGTCCAAAAAAGGGACGGAAGAATAATAATAATAACTAGAAAAATTGCATTTCCTTGCAGAAAATGCGTGGAAATGCTGAGTGCTGAAAGCTGAAAAAGCAATGCTAAACTGCTAATAAAACATGGAGAAAGGTATAAATGTTAAAGCTGTTGAAGGGGTGAAAAAGAAATATAAGTTGGATAACTGTTTAATTGGTTGAAGGACAAATAGTATGACTATGCTCTATAAATGGAAATTTTATTCATGCTGAAAGAGGCTAGAAAAATGTCGAAAATTGCACAAAGTTTGAATGAAGAAGGAAACTGCCTTAAAAGGCAGGAAGGTGAGAAGTGGCATAAGTTTAAGTTGTAGTACTAGAAGTAGTATGATAAGAGGTCAAGTCGTGATACTAGTAGTCATGTCAGCAGTAGAAGTAGATTGAGAATAAAAGAAGTATAAGTCAAAGTAGTAAAGAAAGTAGAAATAGGAGCAATAGCAGTTGAAGTAGAGGGGAAAGTACTAGTTTAATTGACATTAGCAGTAGTTGTCGTACTTGAGGTAGGATTTTTTTTGAAGGATGGAGTAATGCATAAATATTAAAACTAATTTAAACATGGAAAATTTAAATAATTAAATTTCACAAGTATCAGAAAGTTTTGAAGTATTAGAAAGGTTTGAATCAGTTTGAATGAGTTTAAATTAGTTTGAAAAATTAAATGATAAATCATCACTGAGTGACTTTAAAATGTGAAAAATTTAAATGAAAATAAATCCTAAATACACCCAATAATGTCCTCAATGAGCTTAAATTTCAAAGCCCTGAATGGTTTCTGTAGGTCAAAGGTCATGTGAGGAGATAGGGGCTGAAGTTTTTTCAAGCGCTCTAGGAAAGGGTTTTAAATGTCATCCCCAGTGTTATGTGTACTGAGCCTGGCTTCATGTGTCTCATATGGCCATTAGAAGCAGCTTTTCAGTCAGCTGTGTGTCTCCAGGTGCACAAATTGGTTGCCATGGGGACCTTGGATGCATAACTATAGCAGGAGAAAGAAGGCTTGAAGCTAAGGAAACAGGACTCCAAGTAGGCCCTGATGCTCATCCTCTGTATAAATTCATGATAAGGAGCTTGTGAGAACACAAGACTCTGCTGAACACATTAATACAATTTATTATCACAATCCTCAAAACACCCCATAATATCTTCAATGAGCTGAATTTTAGAAGCCCAGAATGGTTTCTGTAGCTCAAAGTTTGTGGGTGGAGATAGGTGGTGAAGCAGACACATATTAACTGTGTATACAAGCAGCTGAACTGCAAGGTAGACCTGACAGCAAAAAGTACAAGAATCTGTGTGTGTGTGTGTGTGTGTGTGTGTGTGTGTGTGTGTGTGTGTCTCGTTAATGATTGCATCCTAAACAGCTGTGAGATCAAAGCATTAACTAACCTATTGTTTGAATGGAGAAGCTGCCGAACTGCAGTGAATTTAGGGTTCTGAACTTCTTCACATAGCACGATTTCCTTAAATCCCAGAATGAAAATAAGAACATCGTACGAATCCTCCATCCTTCATGAACACAATGATCTGTTTTTCATGTCTGTACTCCAAAAAATGTGGCCACAACAGCGAGTTAAAAAAGTCTGAGCCTGAGGGACGATAAGGATTTTCTTGGAGAAAAAATACATTAGGGCCAATGGGGAGAGATTTGCGCCTATTTGGACAGTTGGTCACCTGCTGGCCAAGGGGTACGAGTTAATGATTTGAAACCTCTTTTTTGAGAAGCAGGACACATATACCTCCATTTTGATGTATTTTTTATGGCTGTGGAGTGAGATTTGTGGGCGTGGGAGCGATATATTCGAGCGAGGTTCTGTCGATCAGAGACGAGGTCTGCACTCTAGCTTTTCAAATCATCACTCTAGCCTCTCCAATACACCCCCATTATAAAGCCTGAAATTTGCTGAAAACCACAAGTTGCATAAAGCTAAATTGTGGAAAAACTGTAAAAGATAGCAAAAAAAGGTTAATACAACATCAATAGTCGACAAGACAATGAACATTTTAAAGCAAAAATTAGGTCTCTAGGTGAAAGTATGCTGAAGTTATAAGGCATAGAAAGTGGACGAATAACAGGAAGAATTGGAACATTTCCCCATTCATTTCTATGGGAAAAAAAGTTTGGCACAAAAAGTGAAAAATAATAAAAAGTATAAAGGGTAGAAAAGAGAAAAGTAATAGCCATCATGTCCTGATAGAGCGGAATAGTTTAAAGTTTGAACGGTTGAAATCGGACAAAGTTTGAAGGAGGAGAAGCGGTCCAAAGAAACGTATGGGGAGAGTGTTAAGTATAACTAGAAAAATTGCATTTCCTTGCAGAAAATGCGTGGAAATGCTGAGTGCTGAAAGCTGAAAAAGCAATGCTAAACTGCTAATAAAACATGGAGAAAGGTATAAATGTTAAAGCTGTTGAAGGGGTGAAAAAGAAGTATAGTAAGTAAGGACAAATAGTATGAATATGCTCTATAAAAGGAAATTTGATTCATGCTTAAAGAGGCTAGAAAAATGTCTAAAATTGCACAAAGTTCGATTGAAGAAGGAAATTGCCTTAAAAGGCAGGAAGGTGAGAAGTGGCATAAGTTTAAGTTGTAGTACTAGAAGTAGTATGATAAGAAGTCAAGTCGTGATACTAGTAGTCATGTCAGCAGTAGAAGTAGTTTGAGAATAAAAGAACTATAGCAATAGCAGTTGAAGTAGAGAAAGTAGAAATAGGAGCAATAGCAGTTGAAGTAGAGGGGAAAGTACTAGTTAAATTGACATTAGCAGTAGTTGTCGTACTTGAGGTAGGATTTTGTTTGAAGGATGGAGTAATGCATGAATATTAAAACTAATTTAAAACATGGAAAATTTAAATACTTAAAAATCCTCAAGTATCAGTTTGAATGAGTTTAAATTAGTTTGAAAAATTAAATGATAAATCATCAATGAGTGACTTATAAAAGTGAAAAATGTAAATGAATATAAATCCTGAATACACCCCATAATGTCCTCAATGAGCTTAAATTTTAAAGCCCTGAATGGTTTCTGTAGGTCAAAGGTCATGTGAGGAGATAGGGGCTGAAGTTTTTTCAAGCGCTCTAGGAAAGGGTTTTAAGTGTCATCCCCAGTGCTATGTGTACTGAGCCTGGCTTCATGTGTCTCATATGGCCATTAGAAGCAGCTTTCCAGTCAGCTGTGTGTCTCCAGGTGCACAAATTGGTTGCCATGGGGACCTTGGATGCATAACTATAGCAGGAGAAAGAAGGCTTGAAGCTAAGGAAACAGGACTCCAAGTAGGCCCTGACGCTCATCCTCTGTATATATTCATGATAAGGAGCTTGTGAGAACACAAGACTCTGCTGAACACATTAATACAATTTATTATCACAATCCTCAAAACACCCCATAATATCTTCAATGAGCTGAATTTTTCAAGCCCAGAATGGTTTCTGTAGCTCAAAGTTTGTGGGTGGAGATAGGTGGTGAAGCAGACACATATTAACTGTGTGTACAAGCAGCTGAACTGCAAGGTAGACCTGACAATGCAACAAGTACAAGAATGTGTGTGTGTGTGTGTGTGTGTGTGTGTGTGTGTGTGTGTGTGTGTGTGTGTGTGTCTCGTTAATGACTGCATCCTAAACAGCTGTGAGATCAAAGGCAAATCACTGACCTACTGTTTGACTGAGAGGTGCTGAACTGCTGAGGATTTATAGCCTCTGAACTTCTTCACATAGCGTGATTTCCTTAAGTCCCAGAATGAAAATAAGAACATCGTACGAATCCTCCGCCCTTCATGAACACAATGATGTGTTTTTCATGTCTGTACTCCGAAAAATGTGGCCACAACAGCGAGTTAAAAAAGTCTGAGCCTGAGTGGGGATAAGGATTTTCTTGGAGAAGAAATACATTAGGTCTAATGGGGAGAGATTTCCGCCTATTTGGACAGTTGGTCACCTGCTGGCCAAGGAGTACCATTTAATGATTCGAAACCTCTTTTGTAAGAAGCAGGACACATATACCTCCATTTTGATGTATTTTTTATGGCTGTGGAGTGAGATTTGTGGGCGTGGGAGCGATATATTTGAGCGAGGTTCTGTCGATCAGAGACGAGGTCTGCACTCTAGCTTTTCAAATCATCACTCTAGCCTCTCCAATACACCCCCATTATAAAGCCTGAAAATTGCTGAAAACCACGAGGTGCTTCAAGCTAAATTGGGGGAAAACTGTAGAAGATAGCACAAAAAAGTTAATACAACATCAATAGTCGACAAGTGAATGAACATTTTAAAGCAAAAATGAGGTCTCTAGGTGAAAGTATGCTGAAGTTATAAGGCTTAGAAGGTGGAAGAAGAAAAAGAAGAATTGGAAGATTTCCCCATTCATTTCTATGGGAAAAAAAGTTTGAGACAAAAAGTGAAAAATAATAAAAAGTATAAAGGGTAGAAAAGAGAAAAGTAATAGCCATCATGTCCCGATGGAGTGTAATAGTTTAAAGTTTGAACGGTTGAAATCGGACAAAGTTTGAAGGAGGAGAAGCGGTCCAAAGAAACGTATGGGGAGAGTGTTAAGTATAATACTAGAAAAATTGCATTTCCTTGCAGAAAATGCGTGGAAATGCTGAGTGCTGAAAGCTGAAAAAGCAATGCTAAACTGCTAATAAAACATGGAGAAAGGTATAAATGTTAAAGCTGTTGAAGGGGTGAACAGAAATATAAGTTGGATAATTGATTAATTGGTTGAAGGACAAATAGTATGAATATGCTCTATAAAAGGAAATTTTATTCATGCTGAAAGAGGCTAGAAAAATGTCGAAAATTGCACAAAGTTTTAATGAAGAAGGAAATTGCCTTAAAAGGCAGGAAGGTGAGAAGTGGCATAAGATTCAGTTGTAGTACTAGAAGTAGTATGATAAGAAGTCAAGTCGTGATACTAGTAGTCATGTCAGCAGTAGAAGTAGATTGAGAATAAAAGAAGTATAAGTCAAAGTAGTAAAGAAAGTAGAAATAGGAGCAATAGCAGTTGAAGTAGAGGGGAAAGTTCTAGTTTAATTGACATTAGCAGTAGTTGTCGTACTTGAGGTAGGATTTTGTTTGAATGATGGAGTAATGCATAAATATTAAAACTAATTTAAAACAGGGAAAATTTAAATTATCAAAAGTCCTCAAGTATCAGAAAGTTTTGAAGTATTAGAAAGGTTTGAATCAGTTTGAATGAGTTTAAATTAGTTTGAAAAATTAAATGATAAATCATCACTGAGTGACTTTTAAAATGTGAAAAATTTAAATGAATAACAATCCTAAATACACCCAATAATGTCCTCAATGAGCTTAAATTTCAAAGCCCTGAATGGTTTCTGTAGGTCAAAGGTCATGTGAGGAGATAGGGGCTGAAGTTTTTTCCAACGCTCTAGGAAAGGGTTTTAAGTGTCATCCCAATTGCTATGTGTACTGAGCCTGGCTTCATGTGTCTCATATGGCCACTAGAAGCAGCTTTCCAGTCAGCTGTGTGTCTCCAGGTGCACAAATTGGTTGCCATGGGGACCTTGGATGCATAACTATAGCAGGAGAAAGAAGGCTTGAAGCTAAAGAAACAGGACTCCAAGTAGGCCCTGACGCTCACCCTCTGTATATATTCATAAGGAGCTTGTGAGAACACAAGACTCTGCTGAACACATTAATACAATTTATTATCACAATCCTCAAAACACCCCATAATATCTTCAATGAGCTGAATTTTTGAAGCCCAGAATGGTTTCTGTAGCTCAAAGTTTGTGGGTGGAGATAGGTGGTGAAGCAGACACATATTAACTGTGTGTACAAGCAGCTGAACTGCAAGGTGGACCTCAAAAAGCAACAAGTACAAGAATGTGTGTGTGTGTGTGTGTGTGTGTGTGTGTGTGTGTGTGTGTGTGTGTGTGTGTGTGTGTGTGTGTATGTGTGTCTCGTTAATGATTGCATCCTAAACAGCTGTGAGATCAAAGGCAAATCACTAACCAACTGTTTGACTGAGAGGTGCTGAACTGCAGTGAATTTCAGCCTGTGAACTTCTTCACATAGCGTGATTTCCTTAAGTCCCAGAATGAAAATAAGAACATCGTACGAATCCTCCGTCCTTCATGAACACAATGATGTGTTTTTCATGTCTGTACTTCGAAAAATGAGGCCACAACAGCGAGTTAAAAAAGTCTGAGCCTGAGCGATGATCCGGATTTTCCTGGAGAAAAATAACATTATGGTCAATGGGAGAGATTTCCGCCTTTTTTGGACAGTTGGTCACCTGCTGGCCAAGGGGTACGATTTAATGATTTGAAACCTCTTTTGTGAGAAGCAGGACACATATACCTCCATTTTGATGTATTATTTGTGTCAGTGGAGTGAGATTTGTGGGCGTGGGAGCGATATATTCGAGCGAGGTTCTGTCGATCAGAGACGAGGTCTGCACTCTAGCTGATGACATCATCACTCTAAACTCTCCAATACACACCCATTATAAAGCTTGAAATTTGCTGAAAACCACAAGTTGCTTAAAGCTAAATTGTGGAAAAACTGTAAAAGATATCAAAAAACTGAGTACAACTTTAATAGTCGACAAGTGAATGAACATTTTAAAGCAAAAATTAGGTCTCTAGGTGAAAGTATGCTGAAGTTATAAGGTCTAGAAGGTGGAAGAGGAAAAGGTAGATTTTAAGATTTCCCCATTCATTTTTAATGGTACAAATTTTGCACAAAAAGTTAAAAAAAACAAAAAGTATAAAGGGTAGAAAGGAAAAAAATAGACGCCATAATGTCCTGAATGAGTGGAATAGTTTAAAGTTTGAACGGTTGAAATCGGACAAAGTTTGAAGGAGGAGAAGCGGTCCAAAAATCGGCGGAAGAATAATAATAAGTTTAATAAAGAAACAGGAGAATAACAATAAGTGGAAATGCTTAATCAGCATTTCCACTTAACTAGAAAAATTGCATTTCCTTGCAGAAAATGCGTGGAAATGCTGAGTGCTGAAAGCTGAAAAAGCAATGCTAAACTGCTAATAAAACATGGAGAAAGGTATAAATGTTAAAGCGTTTGAAGGGGTGAAAAAGAAATGTAAGTTGGATAATTGATTAATTGGTTGAAGGACAAATAGTATGAATATGCTCTATAAAAGGAAATTTTATTCATGCTGAAAGAGGCTAGAAAAATGTCTAAAATTGCACAAAGTTTGAATGAAGAAGGAAACTGCCTTAAAAGGCAGGAAGTTGAGAAGTGGCATAAGTTTAAGTTGTAGTACTAGAAGTAGTATAGGAGGTCAAGTCGTGATACTAGTAGTCATGTCAGCAGTAGAAGTAGTTTGAGAATAAAAGAAGTATAAGTCACAGTAGTAGAGAAGGTAGAAATAGGAGCAATAGCAGTTGAAGTAGAGAAAGTAGAAAAAGGAGCAATAGCAGTTGAAGTAGAGGGGAAAGTACTAGTTCAATTGACATTAGCAGTAGTGGTCGTACTTGAGGTAGGATTTTGTTTGAAGGATGGAGTAATGCATAAATATTAAAACTTATTTAAAACAGGGAAAATTTAAATAATCAAAAATCCTCAAGTATCAGAAATTTTTAAAGTATTAGAAAGGTTTGAATCAGTTTGAATGAGTTTAAATTAGTTTGAAAAATTAAATGATAAATCATCACTGAGTGACTTTTAAAAGTGAAAAATTTAAATGAATCCTGAATACACCCCATAATGTCCTCAATGAGTTTAAATTTTAAAGCCCTGAATGGTTTCTGTAGGTCAAAGGTCAGGTGAGGAGATAGGAGCTGAAGTTTTTTCAAGCGCTCTAGAAAAGGGTTTTAAGTGTCATCCCCAGTGCTATGTGTACTGAGCCTGGCTTCATATGTCTCATATGGCCATTAAAAGCAGCTTTCTAGTCAGCTGTGTGTCTCCAGGTGCACAAATTGGTTGCCATGGGGACCTTGGATGCATAACTATAGCAGGAGAAAGAAGGCTTGAAGCTAAGGAAACAGGACTCCAAGTAGGCCCTGACGCTCATCCTCTGTATATATTCATGATAAGGAGCTTGTGAGAACCACAAAAACTGCTGAACACATTAATACAATTTATTATCAAAATCCTCAAAACACCCCAAAATGTCCTCAATGAGCTGAATTTTTCAAGCCCAGAATGGTTTCTGTAGCTCAAAGTTTGTGGGTGGAGATAGGTGGTGAAGCAGACACATATTATCTGTGTGTACAAGCAGGTGAACTGCAAGGTAGACCTGACAATGCAACAAGTACAAGAATGTGTGTGTGTGTGTGTGTGTGTGTGTGTGTCTCATTAATGACTGCATCCTAAACAGCTGTGAGATCAAAGGCAAATCACTGACCTACTGTTTGAATGACAAGCAGCTGAACAGCAGAGGATTTGAAGCCTGTGAACTTCTTCACATAGCGTGATTTCCTTAAGTCCCAGAATGAAAATAAGAACATCGTACGAATCCTCCGTCCTTCATGAACACAATGATGTGTTTTTCATGTCTGTACTCCGAAAAATGTGGCCACAACAGCGAGTTAAAAAAGTCTGAGCCTGAGTGACGATAAGGATTTTCTTGGAGAAGAAATACATTAGGGCCAATGGGGAGATATTTGCGCCTATCTGGACATTTGGTCACCTGCTGGCCAAGGGGTACGATTTAATGATTTGAAACCTCTTTTGTGAGAAGCAGGACACATATACCTCCATTTTGATGTATTATTTATGGCTGTGGAGTGAGATTTGTGGGCGTGGGAGCGATATATTCGAGCGAGGTTCTGTCGATCAGAGACGAGGTCTGCACTCTAGCTGATGACATCATCACTCTAAACTCTCCAATACACACCCATTATAAAGCTTGAAATTTGCTGAAAACCACAAGTTGCTTAAAGCTAAATTGTGGAAAAACTGTAAGAGATATCAAAAAACTGAGTACAACTTTAATAGTCGACAAGTGAATGAACATTTTAAAGCAAAAATGAGGTTTCTAGGTGAAAGTATGCTGAAGTTATAAGGTCTAGAAGGTGGAAGAATAAAAGGAAGGAGTGGAAGATTTCCCCATTGACTTTAATGTTAAAATTTTTGCACAAAAAGTTAAAAAAATCAAAAAGTATAAAAGGTAGAAGAGTGAAAAGTAATAGCCATAATGTCCTGAAGGAGTGTAATAGTTTAAAGTTTGAACGGTTGAAATCGGACAAAGTTTGAAGGAGGAGAAGCGGTCCAAAAAAGGGACGGAAGAATAATAATAATAAAGAAAAATGGCCGACAGGAATAACAATAAGTGGAAATGCTTAATCAGCATTTCCACTTAACTAGAAAAATTGCATTTCCTTGCAGAAAATGCGTGGAAATGCTGAGTGCTGAAAGCTGAAAAAGCAATGCTAAACTGCTAATAAAACATGGAGAAAGGTATAAATGTTAAAGCTGTTGAAGGGGTGAAAAAGAAATATAAGTTGGATAATTGATTAATTGGTTGAAGGACAAATAGTATGAATATGCTCTATAAAAGGAAATTTTATTCATGCTGAAAGAGGCTAGAAAAATGTCGAAAATTGCACAAAGTTTGAATGAAGAAGGAAATTGCCTTAAAAGGCAGGAAGGTGAGAAGTGGCATAAGTTTAAATTGTAGTACTAGAAGTAGTATGATAAGAAGTCAAGTCGTGATACTAGTAGTCATGTCAGCAGTAGAAGTAGATTGAGAATAAAAGAAGTATAAGTCAAAGTAGTAAAGAAAGTAGAAATAGGAGCAATAGCAGTTGAAGTAGAGGGGAAAGTTCTAGTTTAATTGACATTAGGAGTAGTTGTCGTACTTGAGGTAGGATTTTATTTGAATGATGGAGTAATGCATAAATATTAAAACTAATTTAAAACAGGGAAATTTTAAATTTCCTCAAGTATCAGAAAGTTTTGAAGTATTAGAAAGGTTTGAATCAGTTTGAATGAGTTTAAATTAGTTTGAAAAATTAAATGATAAATCATCACTGACTGACTTTTAAAATGTGAAAAATTTAAATGAATAACAATCCTAAATACACCCAATAATGTCCTCAATGAGCTTAAATTTCAAAGCCCTGAATGGTTTCTGTAGGTCAAAGGTCATATGAGGAGATAGGGGCTGAAGTTTTTTCCAACGCTCTAGGAAAGGGTTTTAAGTGTCATCCCAATTGCTATGTGTACTGAGCCTGGCTTCATGTGTCTCATATGGCCACTAGAAGCAGCTTTCCAGTCAGCTGTGTGTCTCCAGGTGCACAAATTGGTTGCCATGGGGACCTTGGATGCATAACTATAGCAGGAGAAAGAAGGCTTGAAGCTAAAGAAACAGGACTCCAAGTAGGCCCTGACGCTCACCCTCTGTATATATTCATAAGGAGCTTGTGAGAACACAAGACTCTGCTGAACACATTAATACAATTTATTATCACAATCCTCAAAACACCCCATAATATCTTCAATGAGCTGAATTTTTGAAGCCCAGAATGGTTTCTGTAGCTCAAAGTTTGTGGGTGGAGATAGGTGGTGAAGCAGACACATATTAACTGTGTGTACAAGCAGCTGAACTGCAAGGTGGACCTCAAAAAGCAACAAGTACAAGAATGTGTGTGTGTGTGTGTCTCGTTAATGACTGCATCCTAAACAGCTGTGAGATCAAAGGCAAATCACTAACCTACTGTTTGACTGAGAGGTGCTGAACTGCAGTGAATTTCAGCCTGTGAACTTCTTCACATAGCGTGATTTCCTTAAGGCCCAGAATGAAAATAAGAACATCGTACGAATCCTCCGCCCTTCATGAACACAATGATGTCTTTTTCATGTCTGTACTTCGAAAAATGTGGCCACAACAGCGAGTTAAAAAAGTCTGAGCCTGAGTGGGGATAAGGATTTTCTTGGAGAAGAAATACATTAGGTCTAATGGGGAGAGATTTCCGCCTATTTGGACAGTTGGTCACCTGCTGGCCAAGGGGTAGGATTTAATGATTTGAAACCTCTTTTGTGAGAAGCAGGACACATATACCTCCATTTTGATGTATTTTTTATGGCTGTGGAGTGAGATTTGTGGGCGTGGGAGCGATATATTCAGGCGAGGTTCTGTCGATCAGAGACGAGGTCTGCACTCTAGCTTTTCAAATCATCACTCTAGCCTCTCCAATACACCCCTATTATAAAGCCTGAAATTTGCTGAAAACCACAAGTTGCATAAAGCTAAATTGTGGAAAAACTGTAAAAGATAGCACAAAGAGGTTAATACAACATCAATAGTCGACAAGACAATGAACATTTTAAAGCAAAAATGAGGTCTCTAGGTGAAAGTATGCTGAAGTTATAAGGTCTAGAAGGTGGAGGAATAACAGGAAGAATTGAAAGATTTCCCCATTCATTTCTATGGGGAAAAAAGTTTGGCACAAAAAGTGAAAAATAATAAAAAGTATAAAGGGTAGAAAAGAGAAAAGTAATAGCCATCATGTCCTGATGGAGCGGAATAGTTTAAAGTTTGAACGGTTGAAATCGGACAAAGTTTGAAGGAGGAGAAGCGGTCCAAAGAAACGTATGGGGAGAGTGTTAAGTATAATACTAGAAAAATTGCATTTCCTTGCAGAAAATGCGTGGAAATGCTGAGTGCTGAAAGCTGAAAAAGCAATGCTAAACTGCTAATAAAACATGGAGAAAGGTATAAATGTTAAAGCTGTTGAAGGAGTGAAAAAGAAATATAAGTTGGATAATTGTTTAATTGGTTGAAGGACAAATAGTATGAATATGCTCTATAAATGGAAATTTTATTCATGCTGAAAGAGGCTAGAAAAATGTCTAAAATTGCACAAAGTTTGAATGAAGAAGGAAATTGCCTTAAAAGGCAGGAAGGTGAGAAGTGGCATAAGTTTAAGTTGTAGTACTAGAAGTAGTTTGATAAGAGGTCAAGTTGTGATTCTAGTAGTCATGTCAGCAGTAGAAGTAGATTGAGAATAAAAGAAGTATAAGTCAAAGTAGTAAAGAAAGTAGAAATAGTAGCAATAGCAGCAGTAGAGAAAGTAGAAATAGGAGCAATAGCAGTTGAAGTAGAGGGGAAAGTTCTAGTTAAATTGACATAAGTAGTTGTAGCTCTAGAGGTAGGATTTTGTTTGAAGGACGAATTAATGCATAAATATTAAAACTAATATAAAACAGGGAAAATTTTATTAATTAAAAATCCTCAAGTATCAGAAAGTTTTGAAGTATTAGAAAGGTTTGAATCATTTTGAATGAGTTTAAATTAGTTTGAAAAATTAAATGATAAATCATCACTGAGTGACTTTAAAATGTGAAACATTTAAATGAATATAAATCCTAAACACACCCCATAATGTCCTCAATGAGCTTAAATTTTAAAGCCCTGAATGGTTTCTGTAGGTCAAAGGTCATGTGAGGAGATAGGGGCTGAAGTTTTTCTAGCGCTCTAGGAAAGGGTTTTAAGTGTCATCCCAAGTGCTATGTGTACTGAGCCTGGCTTCATGTGTCTCATATGGCCATCAGAAGCAGCTTTCCAGTCAGCTGTGTGTCTCCAGATGCACTAATTGGTTGCCATGGGGACCTTGGATGCATAACTATAGCAGGAGAAAAATTGAAGCTAAGGAAACAGGACTCCAAGTAGGCCTTGACGCTCATCCTATGTATATATTAATGATAAGGAGCTTGTGAGAACACAAGACTCTGCTGAACACATTAATACAATGTATTATCACAATCCTCAAAACACCCCATAATATCTTCAATGAGCTGAATTTTTGAAGCCCAGAATGGTTTCTGTAGCTCAAAGTTTGTGGGTGGCGATAGGTGGTGAAGCAGACACATATTAACTGTGTGTACAAGCAGCTGAACTGCAAGGTGGACCTCAAAAAGCAACAAGTACAAGAATGTGTGTGCGTGTGTGTGTGTGTGTCTCGTTAATGACTGCATCCTAAACAGCTGTGAGATCAAAGGCAAATCACTAACCTACTGTTTGACTGAGAGGTGCTGAACTGCAGTGAATTTCAGCCTGTGAACTTCTTCACATAGCGTGATTTCCTTAAGTCCCAGAATGAAAATAAGAACATCGTACGAATCCTCCGTCCTTCATGAACACAATGATGTCTTTTTCATGTGTGTACTCCGAAAGATGTGGCCACAACAGCGAGTTAAAAAAGTCTGAGCCTGAGTGGGGATAAGGATTTTCTTGGAGAAGAAATACATTAGGTCTAATGGGGAGAGATTTCCGCCTTTGGACAGTTGGTCACCTGCTGGCCAAGGGGTAAGATTTAATGATTTGAAACCTCTTTTGTGAGAAGCAGGACACATATACCTCCATTTTGATGTATTTTTTATGGGTGTGGATTGAGATTTGTGAGCGTGGGAGCGATATATTCGAGCGAGGTTCTGTCGATCAGAGACGAGGTCTGCACTCTAGCTGATGACATCATCACTCTAAACTCTCCAATACACACCCATTATAAAGCTTGAAATTTGCTGAAAACCACAAGTTGCTTAAAGCTAAATTGTGGAAAAACTGTAAGAGATATAAAAAAACTGAGTACAACTATAATAGTCGACAAGTGAATGAACATTTTAAAGCAAAAATGAGGTCTCTAGGTGAAAGTACGCTGAAGTTATAAGGCTGAGAAGGTGGAGGAGTAAAAGGTAGAATTTGAAGATTTCCCCATTCATTTCAATGGGAAAATTTTTGCACAAAAAGTCAAAAATATCAAAAAGTATAAAGGGTAGAAAGAAAAAATACACGCAATAATGTCCTGAAGGAGTGGAATAGTTTAAAGTTTGAATGGTTGAAATCGGACAAAGTTTGAAGGAGGAGAAGCGGTCCAAAAAAGGGACGGAAGAATAATAATAAGTTTAATAAAGAAACAGGAGAATAACAATAAGTGGAAATGCCTATCAGCATTTCCACTTAACTAGAAAAATTGCATTTCCTTGCAGAAAATGCGTGGAAATGCTGAGTGCTGAAAGCTGAAAAAGCAATGCTAAACTGCCAGTAATAAATGGAGAAGGTATAAATGAAAAAACTGTTAAAGGGGTGAAGTGTTATAAATAGAAGTTGTATGAATGTTTCAACCGTAACAGAACTGAAGAAGAAGATGATGAAAAAGAGATGAGTTGTATGGATGTAAAAACACTGGGAGAGGTAAACCAGTAGCTGTATGAATATTCAAATTGCTAAAGAACTGATCTTGAACATTACAGGAAATATGGTAAAGAATTTTAAAGATGGCTGAAAAGGCCTTCATGTTGGAAGAAGTAGAAATGAATGTAGATGAGAAATGAACACATTACACAAATATGTTTAATTTAAATATATATGTTTAAGAAAAATATTATTGTCAATCCTTTAACATTTTTTGAGCAATGAAATGATTAATCATAAAACATTAAAAAAAATAAATAAAATAAAAAAACAAAAACATAAACACATAAAGAAACAGTGTTCCATAGTGCCTTAAATCAAATTATAAACAATTTGTTTGTGAACAGGTATTGGAAGCAGAAATCTTTACATGGGTGACCAATCTGTCTCTTAAGCTTAAGGTTTTAAGATTGTCGTTGTTGTGATTGTTGATGGACAAAGGTATCACATTTTCAGTTGTTTCTAAAATTGTTTAGCCCAATCATTACAGGCTCTTCACACAGTTGTTAGACTGAGGCTAACACCCCATTATTTACTGGATTCAAACTCCAGCAGCCCTGTACCCACATTCACCTCTTTTCTTGTGTTTTCGGATTACTAAGCCTTAACAAAAGTTGGCTCATAAAATTTGTCATGGCCCATTAAGCCAAGTCCTGTGTTGTGGGCTTTAAAAACAGACCTTGAAATTTGATTTCAAAGTCTGATACAGGACTGTTATGTGTGTTTTTAAGGGTTTAGATTAGCCTAAGACTAAGTTTGCATATCTGAAAAACCTTTATACCTATACATAAAAAAAATATATGAAAATGGTGACTTGAGAGTTATAAAAAAAATAGTTACTACAATCGGTCAGCAGTATAACAACATAAATGTGAATCACAAAAAGTATAAAATGGAACATGAGGAATAGTATGCAAAAATAAGTCAGCAGTTTACTGTACAGTGTAGTACAGAAGTATTTTACAGAAGTTAAAATTAAAATAAAAAAAAAAGATTAATTTGAATTAAAATTTAATATAATGTGAAGGGTAAGGTAAAGAATGCAAATGCAAATAATGCAAAGTTAGGCTTGTGGAAATATACAGGCAAAGTAAGGTGTAAGGCTTATGAATTAAATATGGCATTATAGTATTTTTTAAAGCTAACTGCAGTGAAATGTGGGCTCTCGTAGAAAAAAAGAAAATTATAGAATAATAAATAATTATAATAATAAATAAAATTAAATGATATGAAACTGAAACTTTAAGCAAAATCTAAAATGATCAGATTAAAAAGTAGATTTGAGAACTTGAAATAAATTGATGTAATGTATTGGTCCACCTTAGCACCAAAAGGCTTTTCACAGTAGACCAAGGCTATTACTGTCATCAGCTCATTGTCATCTGCTCATTTGTTTGCAAAAATAACTCAGCAGTTTACTGTACAGTGTGGTACAGAAGTATTTTACAGAAATTAAAATATATATTTTTTTAATTAAATCTAAATTAAAAATTTAAAATAATGTGGAGGGTAAGGAAAAGAATGCAAATGCAAAAGATGCAGTCCTCCAGGCTTGCGGAAATATACAAGCAAAGTAAGGTGAAAGGTTAAAAAAATTAAATATGGCACTGAAGTATTTTTTATAGCATGTATTGGTCCACCTTACCACCCAAAAGGCTTTTCACAGTAGTTAGACCAAGGCTAATACTGTCATCAGCTCATTGCAGTGGACTGACAATCTGGTCAGCATTTTAGATCCCAGTGTTTTCTTATCCAAACATTCACACTACTCTGTCTTACTGAAATGCTGGGTTGGGAACTTTGTTCCTCTATGAAATCCCTTCACACAGTTTGTTTAACCAAGCCCTGTGTTTGATGATTGTGACGACAACCTTCAGCAGGGATTGTTTCACACTGTAATGCTGGGATCACTGCTGTCCAAAACATTAGCCCAAGACTAAGCACACGTGAAAAACCTGCAGTGTACCTACCAGCTGAAACCCAAAGTACATCATTTATTTCTAAAAACACATCTTCTCTTGTAGGTAAATTTGAGGGCTATGGTGAGCATATTAAAACGAGAAATTCAGCTGCCTGCAACAACTTTTCCGTTCATCAGTGTTGGTCATCTTTTGATATAAGGACAGATACACAGTAAAAGGGAAAGAAAATACTAAAATAAGATAGAACAAATAAAGTCCAAGAAACAGGAAAATTAAAATATTAACAGATATCGACAACCGATCATTTAATGTAGAAAACAGGATTCAAAACAATATAAGAGTGATAGTTGTCCTGTCCTGAAGACAATCAGTCAGTTCCTCAAGTGAGTACTGTGTTCTGTCTGGGCACTTTTTTTCAAAACCAAAAGCCGAGCCCGGTACAGTTCAGAGTGAAGGTTTTGAGTGAGGTAATGTTTTGACCTTTGACCTGTGGTTGTAGAATCACTGTGTGCAGTTATCAGTGTTCGAGTTGACAGCATCACTGGAGTCAGAGGCGGGAGGAGGAGAGGTCTGAAAAAAACAAACAAAATCCCCTTCACTTTAACTCTGTAATCAATACAATTGATTGTAGGATCACCATTAGTTAGCTGCACTTGCTACACCGTGGATGAACAGACAGTGACTTGAAGTAGGAGAATGTAGCTGGTTCAAAACAGGAAATAAACAGAAACATTTGTGTTGATAATCTGTGAAACTAAACATGTTGAATAAATACACACATCATTACAATGAATACCTTAAGCACTGCAGCAGAGCAACTTCACCAGGTCTGCAGCAGCAAAGCTTCCTCACACAGAGAGGGTCAAGGCTCAGGGTGGCTGCATGATGTCCACCTTTGGTGTGTTCAGCTGTCTGAGTGTCTAAGCTGTTCTTCCTCTCTTAACTGGCTTTAAGAAGACCTGGGAGAAAACACTGCAGTTAAAGACGATGGTATCAGCAGAGCTGTACAATAGCATCACAAGCATTAATACAGCAGCTAAGATAACTAAGAAAAAATAAATGAACACAAGTTCACCAAGACATTACCTCAGACTTTCTTGAAGAGGGGTTTATTTCTTGGAGGTTCAGCAGGAACGAGCCCAGTGAGTGACAGGTACTACAGCATCAGTTCTGCTTCAGCCTGATGTCTGGTGGTCCTTGAGAGCTGCTTCAGGACATCTGGGGCACAAGCAGGTAAAACACATGTTTGTGTAGTCCATGAGAGAAGGGTCCCGGTGGGTGCTGCAGTCTGTCCAGCACAGCGATGATGGTTGTTGAGAGCAGCAGGAGGATGGTGTGGAGGATGTCATCTCTTCTTCACCTCTGACCAAAGACTGGGTTAAACAGCAGGTAGACTGTGTCTTTGAGTGGTCCAAAGTGATGTGTTTACTTCTGGTTGACGGTTTGATAATTTTTTTCTGCTCATAAGTGAGCTAATCAGGACAGCACTAATGGTCAGGACAAAGATGGCAGAGACAACTGAAGAAGAAAAAAAAAAAATACCCAAACAAAAGGAAACTTAGCTTTACTCTACTGCATCCACAGGTGATGTGTTTACTTTTGGTTGACAGTTTGATAATTTTTTTCAGTTTACAGTGAGCTAGTCAGGATAGTACTAATGGGGGTCAGGTTAAAGATGACGGGGACAACTGAAAAAAAAAAATAATAGTAATAATAAAAAATTTAAAATAAAAACCTACCCAAAGAAAAGGAAACTTAGAATTGCTCTAGTGTACTTACAGCCACCCATGCTAAGAGAGTGGTGTAAAGTTGGGTGGAGAAAAGGGGGGTTTCAGCTGGTAGGTAACAGAACATCAGAAAGTGTGTGTTCATTAGGGAACACACACTTTCTGATGGAGGTTTTTAATTTTAGCTGCTGTATACAGTATTGTACACAGCAGCTGAGAGTTTTGGCCTGTGCATTTATCAATCCGCACCCACCCTCCCTATGTCCAGTCAAGTCAAGTTAAATGGATTAACTTGACTTGACTGGACTTGATAAATGCACAGGCCAAAAATTGTAATTTATAACATTTGAATAGTTGGAAAATTTTACAACCTGAAAAATATTTTCTTTCAAAAAATTCTGAGCCATAAAAATATTTTTTGCACTAGTAAAATTTACAATGACCAAACACATTTCAATCTGTACTGAAAATATGAGCATAACATTAGCCACAGCTTCTGTAGTTTGTCTTTTCCTTAATAGTAGTTTCCTCTATGACCTGTTGGATGAAATGACACAGTAAGTGGCGTTGTGGTAACTGTAGTATGTCTGCACAATACCTGAGGAGAGACATAGCTGAGGTCGTGAACAGAAAATCAGGTCCAGCAGTGTGTTCTTGTCCGTTGTAGCAGCAGTGATCAGTTGACCATATCCCTTGGACTGAAAGAAATCCAAAATTGGCTTACTTGCATTAGAAAAGAGATTCTCATTGAAATCGCCACAGACAATGATAGGATGACAGTCCATGATCTCAAGTGAGTCCAGAAGGCTTCCCAGATTGGACAGGAATGATGACACACTGTAGTCTGGAGGTCTGTACACAGCTGCAATCAGAGCACTTACAGGAGATTCAACCTTCAAAGCCACAAATTCGAGGTCAGTCACATTATTCAGGTACTGTTTCTCCACAACCTGCAAATGGTTTTTCACATAAACAGCGACTCCACCACCTCCTTTACTGGCCATCTGTGGAAAGTTAGTGTAGGACAAATGTCTGTTGCGTTTGAACATGGTGTAGCCCTCAAACTGGAGACTGTCTGCCACAAAGGAGCCCTGTAGGTGAGTTTCTGTCAGACACAAAACATCTGCAAGACACAGTTCATGATGGCTTTTGATGTCATTCACATGAGCAGGTAATCCTTCGGTGTTGTGATGAATGATGCTCACAGTGTCCTGTCTGCTGAGAGAATGCTGGATCTGGAGAAAAGGCATGAGGTGATCAAAGTTAGCTTGCGTCATGGTCTCCAAAGATACAGTGACTGCAGGGTTAGCATGGATTTTACTCTCATCCAAATCAAGCATGTACAGTCCGCTGAGAGAGGTCACTCGACTGATAGCTACGTAGGCCATGCCGGGCTCAAAAATGTGCTTCAGAGAGACAACAGTTGATTTTCTGGTCATACCTTGAACCTTGTGTATCGTGCATGCAAAGGCAAGTTTCACAGGAAACTGTCTGCGTACCACTCCTTTCTGTTGCAGAGCCTCCTCAGATCTCTCGATGTACACAAGATTGTCTCCTCGAGTACGATAGCTCCTGCCAGCTGTTTCATCATCCATCCTGAGACCAAGCATAGTGACAAGAGCAGAACCATTGTTTTCAGAGCTTATGAGACGGCCTACTGTAGCAAATGATCCGTTCACCAATCCTTGAGACACATCAATGTTTCTGGTAAGCATGACCCTAGCACCTACTGCAACATCTAGTGTGTCAGGTAGATCATTTCTGCTTCCATGACATGGTGCACCTTGTCTTTTCATGTGTCCAGTGTGTGGGTCCTTTTTAAAGTCATCTGCATCAATGGTGGTGATATCAGAATGGAGCAGAGATAGTGTAGCAGAGTTGTGTTCTGCGACTTGTTTGTTGGTAGCAAAAATGTGCAGCACATCAGAGGGACACAGTTGTGGTTCAGTGACACGCTGTGACAGCAGAGTTCTGTCAGCTTCAGAAAGCTCATCTGACCTTGTTTTCACACGGAGTCTGTTCAGCATCTCGGCAAAAGTTTTGTCATCCTTCTGTCGCATGATCTCATCCAAAGTGATCACCTGGAAGTTGTCTCTCCAGAGGTCAAGCTCACTTGGATCATAGACACACAGTGGTTTGGACTGTCGCACAGGCGGTAGCTGGTAAAAGTCTCCCACAGCAATGACTGACATTCCTCCAAAGGGTTTGTGGCTGCCTTTAATCTGTTTCAGTCTCACATCAACATAGGCAAAAAGTGGCTTCGACACCATGGAGATTTCATCAATGATGATGATTTCAGCGTTTAAAAGCTCACACCTGATTTCATCAAGTTGGTTCCCAAGACCTTGAAAAGGAGGTTTCAAACTTCTGGGCAGCTTGAGAAGAGAGTGCAGTGTTGTTCCAGAGATGTTAAAGGCTGCAGTTCCGGTGAAAGCAGTCAACAGCACAGTCGGGTTTGAGATGTCAGCTTCCTCAGCACGTGTAGGTAGTGTTCTCAGAATCTTTGATGCTTCTGAATGAATGCATTTAATGAGATGTGACTTTCCAGTGCCAGCACCACCATTGATGTAGTAGAAAAACTGCTCTGGTTGTCGTCCACAGACTCGTTTTATGCACCAGTCTCTCACTGCATAGAACACACATGCCTGTTTCTGGTTCAGACTCTGATACATTTGTCGTAACCGTGTGGGATCGATTGTAGGGGGCTCTCTCATGACTCTGGCCTCTGTAGCAGCATTTGCTTGTCTGCTGTAATCCGGTACATCCTCTTGGACATTTTCACACTGTCTGGCATCCAGTTCATCGATACACTCCAACCTCACCAGTTCAGATTCAGGTGCCAAATTACACCATTCATCGACCACACCTCTGTTCTGTTCAAAGTCCTCGAGAGCAGAGTCAATTTCCTCACTGTTTTTTTCATATCTCTCTCGGTTTCTTTTCACGATGAGTTTCACACTCAGGGGTCGGTCAGAATACGGCAGCTGAACCACACCTCTCTCATAGAATGACTCATACGTGGGAAAATATGGTCTTTTCAGCTCATCGTCTGATCTGTATGGAAGATACAGTCTAAGCAATGTGCCGTAAAACTGCTCAGGGTATTTCTCTTTGGATATGCGGCGATACCTGATGACAGCAGCGTTGTCACTTTCTCGTCTCTGTATAAAGCCTAGTTCATTCAGCAAAGGTACCACTTTCTTGCCCTTGGTCTGTTGTCCATACACCAGTCTGCAGGTAGAAGCAAAATCAGCCATGCACATCTCTTCAAACTCTGGTGATTCAGGTCTGGATTTGTACTTGTCTGTTAAGGATGTCATCCACACATTCAAGCTGTCTGGTGTTGTGTTGTCAAGGCTTGACACAGGCAGACTCATTTTCACTGGGTTGTCATCAGTTGGGACAAAAACCACACTGCGTGAACTCTTTTTCATGTTCAGTGAAGTCACTCGGGCAACGGCTTCTTGTGCTGATACTTCTCGCTTTTTGGAATACGCCTGCATGACCGCTTTCATTTCATCACATTCATTGACACATTCTCTGTCGGAGTTCTGAATGAGTGTTTGCAGGTACTGGCTCACAGAGTTCTCACTTTTACACATGTACGTACATATGTAATGGATCAGACTGTAGTAGCTGAGAATGAACTGCACGTCAATATTTGCATCCCAAGCTTTGAGCAGGTGAGGGTTGTAGGTGTTTACCCAGCAGTCTTTCGGCTCACGCTTCAGAATGATGTTGCTGGACTGACTCATCACATTCATGTGTTTCTCGTACTCATCAGCGGTTAAGTCACAGACAGACAGGAGCTGTTGAAAACTCATGGATTCAGTTTGTGTCTCATTCAGCAGCTGATTCAGTGGTGCAAGTTTCTCTTTGGCTGTCTTAAGTCTCTCTGACTCCTCATCATCACCCACAGGTCTTGTTATCATTGTCTGTCTGGAGGGTGGTTTTGGGAATCCAAATCGGCATCCAGAACTTGCACTTTTGAAACATGTCTTTGAGTGGTTCTTACTGTGTATTTGCACTTCTTTGACCTTTCTGTACAGTTCAGGCTGTTTATTTGGGTCAGGGAGCTGAGCAGAGATGTGTTTGGACACAAAGTCACACACAGTTTTGTCAGAGTCTCTCTCAAACACAGGTGCACCTTCTACCCACAAAAGACCATGTATATGAGGACTTCCTCTGTGTTGAAACTCGAGACGCCAAAAGAAGTCAAAAACTTTGCCCAGGGGTTGTGCAGGAGACATGATCAGATCTCTGTACAGTGCTTCAACACGCTTATCAAACATGCGCATCGTTGTCACAGGATTGCTTCTCAGAATGTCACACTTTGTGGACCAGTCGAGCTCTTCAAAATTCACTTCCTCACCTTGTTGTGATTTTATTGCAATAATCACCTCAGGCCAACGCATTTCTGCTGCAGAAAATGTGACAAAGAAAGTAGGACTGCCCAACTGTCTGATCATAGCAAACAGATCTTTTGTAGTTTTGTCCCAGTAGGCTGGTGTTCCTCTGAGCGGCTGCATAAATCTGATAGCATCTCTGTTTCTCACCAGTCTCTCCACTTCGTATTTGTCTCTCAACATTCTGGATGTTATTTTACGTCCGTCTCTGGTCAAAGGTTTGCCTTTGCGTAACTGTATGGACATGCTGGAGGTAGCCAAGTGTATTTCGGTCACAAACTGTGCAAAGAACAGGTAGTTGGTATCTCTGGCAAAGCGATCATCAACACCAAAGAGCCTTGCTTTAAAATAACTACTGGGTGATAATTTCATGGGTCTGTTTTCATCCAGTGTATTCTCACCAGTGGGAAACTGAACAGGAAACGCCATGGCCTCTAGTTTGGGTGTTTTGAAAAAACTGACTGGATTGTTTCTCTCTGCTGGAGCTACTGAGTATGTAGAGTCACTGAAACACAATATCTCCTCAGAAACATCACGTGGCTGAAGGCACGACTCCAAAACAACACCACCATTATGCACGTCTGAATCCTGTTGTTGTGTCTGATCATCATTGTCCTGGGTCTGACTTTTATCACACAGCTCTGTGTTGTCGTCCTCAGTTTCAGCATTAGTTTCAGCCTCATACATGGCAGCAGCCTCAATTCTATCAATCTCCATCAAATCCTCATCATCATAGTCATCATCATTCATTGTGTTATCATCATCATCCTCATCCTCATCCTCATCCTCATCACCATCATCAGGAAGTGTGGGGTCACATAACTCCTCCTCATCTCTAATAGTGATGTCTTCATATTGGGGGTGTATCTCTTTCAGTGTATGCAGGGCCTGTACTAGCTTGGACCAGGTAACAGTCTGAAACAGATGGTGACCTCTGTAACTCAAGCGTCTCTTCAGTTTTACTCTCATCACCTGAGACTCATTTCTCAATCTGGGTAGAGCCTGAATTGTTTCCTGGACTTCAGAGGGAACACATACAACATTACCATGTATAGCTCGCTGTCTGCCTTTGGGAAGAGGAATGATTTTGGCAAATGTTATGCACTTTGCTATCAGATGTCTCTCCAGTATGTTGAGGCCACACAGTTCAGGTGGTATGTCAGCAAGCTCCAAGTTGTTTGCTATGGCAAGTTTGGGCATGGCTCCATTTTTCAGATGGTCATGGCAGGTGTGACAAATCCACTCAGTCTTTCTCTCATCAGGGACAGTGCAGTGATTTCTGCAGTCATCGTTACAATCATGGACGTACTGACCTTTGAGACAAGCTGAAACCATGATTGGATTTTTCACATAGTTGGACCTCTTGCACTTTTGCACCTGGTTTGGAAATGAGGCTTTGTGGCAAACTGTGCAAACATGGGTGGGACCAGCTTTAATGTGTGATCGGAAATCATTTATGGCACTTTCAATAAGTGGGTTTTCACTCTCTCTGTCAGTCTCACATGTTTGTTTACTTATCCGTTTGTATTTCTTTGATATTTTCAATGCACACCTCATTTTATGCATAGTTCTGTATGCAAGATTTGTCTTGTACCTGTCTCGCATCATTTGTCTCATCAGCTGTCTGTGTCGGTTACGGAATATTTCATCATTTGCATATCGATGATTGATATATGATCGCTGTCTTTGCCGGAAATTAACATCCTCAGAGTATTTTTTCCTGATATATTCTTTTTGTCTGCCTTTGAAATCAACATTTTCTCTGTATTTTTTCGTGAAATATTCTTTTCGTCTGCCTCTAAAATCAATATTTTCTCCATATTTTTTCCTGAAATATAACTTTTGTCTGCCTTTAAAATCAACATTTTCCCTGTATTTTCGTGTGATATATTCTTTTTGTTTCAGTCTGTAGTCTGTGCTTTCTCTATATTTAGATGTGATCTTTTGTCTTTTCTTTGTCTGTATCTCAGGATTTACAGAATATTTGTTACTTGAATAAGACTTTTTCTTTGCTTTATATGTTTCATTCTTAGCATACTTTTCTCTCTCTCTCCTTTTTTGATTCTCTTTCTTTTGAGATGTCTTTCCAGATCTCATTAGTCTCCTCTTAAATTTCTTTTTTTGCTGTTTGTTCAATTTTGACAGTTTACTAGAAATGTCATGGAGGACATTATCACTGGTGACAGGGATAGTTATAAATGGTTGTGTCAAATTTGATTGTGTCTCCTGAGTTTCCTCTTTGACAGAATTCATGCTGATTTGACCTGGTTGATGAGCTTGTGTTTCCATCAAAGTTGAGACTTTCTGTGATGTGTCATCACTTACAGTAGTGTTCATCTCCAGAACGAGAGATTCAGGACCAGTTAATGTGACAGAACACTGGCTGAAGTCGATCAGTGGTTCTGGTTCAGTTTCCATGTCGCATTCAGTGTTTTCATGGACATCAGTGTTCATCTGTGGAGCACTTGTGTCATCATTTATCACAGTGGTTGTTACAGAGGGACTTGTGGACGGACTTTCTGTGGCTGGGATAGCATCACTTGGGTTCACATCACCGAACACAACTGGCTTGAGCTCATAGGTACAGGACGCTGCTGTGCCCAATATGTGGTGATACCTGATGAGCCTGGCAATCATGTCACTAAGGCGTGTGAATGTTACCATGACAGCGGTACCAGGAGTAGGTGTGGCTTTAAGCAGAGGCAAACCGTTAGCTGTCCTAGCATGTGGGTCAAAGAAACCGTACCTGCCATCTCTGGTTCTGAAAACTGCAATGCACAGTGAAGTCATTAGCAGCAAAGCATACTGCACATCTGATAATAAGCAGCTCAGTCCTGAAACGAGGTCCAGAAAGGTATCAACAGCACCGGGATCCGGATCTCCAAACGTACCGTATCTAGACAGCTGTGACTTGTCAAAAATCTGCGTGTGTCTGCGTGCAGGAACCTCTTTAGGGAGCTCATCGGTTGTCAGATGGATGTGATCACGAACAGTTTTCCTGACTTCTCTGTACATCACATCACCTTTATCCAAAACACGGTCCAGATCTGCTCTGGTGATGTGTTCTCTCTCATACAGGAATGCTAGAAATGTCAGTGAATTACAAGTGCACTGCTGGTTCCTGGATTGGCCGTATTTCAGAGATGCTTGGCTGCGTGACGCACAGACGTTTTGTTCACCTGACTGATTAACAGCGTTCTCATTTCTTACCTGAGAAGAGCCTGATACAGACTGATAATTACTGTGGTTTCCCTTCTTAACAGTGTCTGCACGTGATACCTGGGTTGAGCATGGCTTTTCAGTTTGGGCTATGTAGTTCACCTGATGAGAGTTAGAAGGACCTGCTGCAGGTGACTCACTTACACGTCTCCTCTTAAGCACGTCTGCATAAGATACCTGTGGTTGACATGATGCATTTTCACCTCCCTGTTTCACAGCATCAGACACTTCAGACCTCTTTACCTCTCCACTGCTCTGAGGAATACCATCTGCTGGTCCAGTACTCACAAAGTCAATGTCATGAAACCTCTGCCAGCGCTGGCTTGCAACCTGTGACCTCTTACTCTTCCTTGGCATTGTAACTGTTCTTTCACAAAAATGTGTTTATGCAACAATTAAAAGTTACTGATAAGCACCAGTATAGACAAAAATGCTTTATTTCTTCAAGAGGACGTTATTTACAGCTCTTATAGTCTCCAAAAAATCTAATTTATAACTGTGTGTATACCAACAATAGTTTATCAAATGTTTTCTAAGGAAATCCTAGGCAAGACTATGTAAATGTTTGAAGAAAAAACACAAATCAACAATTTTTTAATCTTAGAACTTTGTGTTTGAAATACTATGCAACTCAAATATTCTATATAAAACGTGTTTTTATGTTCTTTCAAAGTCAGGTATGCAGATGTGGTGTAGCTGACGACACGTCTTCTGGCGAAACTCTGGATTCACAGACAGGAGAGGAGGACCTAGAACAACAATCAGACTTGTGCAAAATTAGGGATTTTTCAAAATAGCGGTTGTATTAAATGTACTTCCGTTTCAAAAGTTTTGACTCAAAGAAAGGTTGCTTGTTTCAAAAGGTTTCTCAAAATAGGTTCTCAAAATAGGTTCTCAAATGTTCTGCAAAGTTCTGAAAAGTTCTGCAAAGTTCTGAAAAGTTCTGCAAAGTTCTGAAAAGTTCTGCAAAGTTCTGAAATGTTCTGAAATGTTCTGAAAAGTTCTGCAAAGTTCTGAAAAGTTCTGCAATGAGTCAGAGTGGGATAGAAGGGGGATAGAAAGACAGAGTTGCTTTTCAATCAGACAGAGTGGTAGAGGAGACAGGAAAGACAGAGCGTCCAAAACTTAGCCAGAGGGATAGAAGAAAGGGGGACACAAGACAGAGTGCTTTTCAATCAGACAGAGTGGTAGAGGAGACAGGAAAGACAGAGCGATCAAAATGATAGGGGAGAGTGGGGAGACTGGACAGGATACCTGTAAGACAAAATGGAAACAAACATTAATCCCTTTTTATTAAAGAAATAAAATAAAATAAACCAACATCCACCCAAAGCTAATGGCATCATAATGCACTTTTACTCAACCCATCAAGTGGCTGTCCTCAATTATACATCTTTCAAAAGTCAAGTTGAGTCAAAAGCTGGAAGTGACCATTGTCTTGTTCGATAACCCTTCAAACAAATAAGGACTAAAAATCCAAAGTGTTCATTATAGTTGATCAAAAATTAATTTAAGATACGAAGAACTTTATTTATCCCCTAAGGGAAATTCAATTGTCTATAGTCTCATTTGTCACGTCTGTATAAGTCATCTACTATTTAAATTGTAGAGTCTCATGGCTGTGGGTACAAAAGATCTTTTGAATCTTTTTTCCCTGCAGCGAAGACAGAGGAGCCGTCCACCACCATAGGCCTTTCGGTCCACCAAGGTGTTGTGAAGTGGGTGAGCCATGTTCTCTAGAATAGCCTCCACCTTCCTCACAGTACATCTCTCCACCACATCCTCCAGTGAGTCAAACTTGAATCCAACCACAGAGCCACCTTTTTAAATTTAGGACCTCAAAGTATTTTACAAAAAGTTCTATTATCCCTGTGTATTTTAGACTCTTTAAGTACTTTAAGTTCCCTTTATAATGTTCATAACCATGTCCTGGTAAGCAAAAGTAACAATGGATTACTCTGCTGATAAAATATTATGTATTTTGGAGAAGGTAATTTCCTTTACTGTGTTTTAAGTATTCCAACAATGTAAAAAGTAGTAATGAGGCCAAGCACCTCCATGAGCTGTAAACAGAAGCATGCAAGGTACCTTAGAAGGATATACACATATCTAAACATAGGATTAAATAAATAATAAAATAAATCAATGGCTGCATAAATAATGATTGTCTATTCCATATTAAAGAACATTAAATTTGCTTGTTTTTTTAAATATGAGAGATGTACAAAGGAGGGAATCACATTCAATTAGTAATTATTTGGATTTTCATCGTTAAAAAATTCCAACTCCACAATCTAATAGTAATAAATTGCTTTCCAGGGATTGGAAATGAAATGCAAATAAGTGTACTGCATATTACATTCAAGCTGTTCATTTCCAACTGTGAGTATTACATAATCAAAGGAAACAAATTGTTAAGTTAGGACATGATGAGGGGTCCATAATGTGTTGAATAATGGCACACTGTCTTATTCATGAAAGTGTCATTCCTGTGTGAACTTACGTCGAGTCGCCACAAAGCGGTCTGCACTTGGAGACAGGACAGAGTTGGCAAAAAGGAAAATGGAAAAATAGAGACAAGAGATTTTTAGTTTAATTGTAGAAAACCAGCACATCTCACTGCATTTCAGTTTCAACTGTAATCAGCCGGCAAAATTGATTAAGTGTTATTTAAAATTGTTTGTGTTACAATGGAAATGTGTTGCAGTTTGTCAAATAAGGACATAATGTCAGGTTTTTACATGATATGTTTAAAAATGTAACAGTGGAAACATTTTTAAATTACTTTATTTGTGAACTTACAGCTGAGTCGCCAACAGTGAATAGGGCCAGCAGTAGAGATAGCATCGAGTTCAGGAGAGAAAAGACAGGGACAAAAAATAAATAAATTTAGTTGCAAAGAAATCAGCATCTTATAGTTTACTGCAATCACAACTTTTCACTGTGGATCCTTAGTTTTCTCATTTCTTATCAAAGTCTACAATTTGTGGCACTTGATTAGTAAAAGGATGTTACTGCAGCTCCCTTGGCCTGTAAAAAATGTTTGTTAAAATGGAGAGAAAATGCACAAACACATTGAAGGACCTCTTCACTTTTTGCTTTCTTATGCAAGTTATTGAGGTGAAATACAAAACAGTGAAATATAATTATAAACTGCAGAGCAAAAATGTAACATTTAAGTGATTGCCCAATAAGTATATATATATATATATATATATATATATATATATATATATATATATATATAAATTAAAGCGTGCATTTCACTTGCTGAGGACAAAACTAAAGAGAAAATGCACCAAGAACAAGCAAGAACTGAAGACAGTTGCAGTAGAGACCTGGCAGAGCAACACTAGGGGTGAAACCCAGCGTCTGGTGTATCTATCTGTCCTAGACAGCAAAGGATTTGCAACCATATATTGCACAGTGAAAGTTTGATGTATGATTTTTGATTTGTCCCAATACTTTTGGTCTCTTAAAAAGTGAGAGGCACATATACAAACTGTTTTAATTCCTACACCTTTCACCTAATGTGGATGTAAATAACCATATATTAAAGCTGAATGTCTGCAGTCAAAGCACATCTTGTTTATTTCATTTAAAGTCAACTGTGGTGGTGTTTACAGCCAGAGAGATGAGTATTATGCTGATGTCCCAATATTTTTGGACCCGACTGTAAGCATGAACTTACACTTCAGAGTTGGTAGGGATTTTCGCCCAGGTCAGAGGACAAGTTGAGGCAGGAGGAGGGGGAGAGAGAGGGAAAGAGATTTTTAATACACTAAAAAAAACTTCATTCAAAATTTATCTGAATGATTTTCTCACTTAATTATTGTCACAATCAAGATTCAGACTTTCGCCAGCAATTTTTTAAATAAATTAATTTAGTAGTGTAGTAGCACACTATTGTCTTCTAGGAAAAAACTGTATCCCATCTATGATTTTCATATAGGATATACAACAGTGTTACAGATAAATCAACAGTTCAAATCAATTTAAAGTCAGTATTTGAAAAATGCATCATATGTACATTAATCCAGTTATTCTTATTTTGTTTGTTGTCAGTCCTGGTCAAAACACTTATACTTACCAACAAATGCACTGGAGCGGATGTATCTTCTGTTTGTTTGAGACAAGAAGCAATACATTAGTGTTTTCTGACAGATAGCACATTAAAAACAATAGGCCTATAAAGAAAACTAACATTATTACAGTAGTTGGGCTAATTGAAAACTAAACAGCTCAAACTGATCACCTGGCTCTTAGCTGCAGCTGAAAATGTCACACATAATACATACTGTATTAAAGTACTTATACCTCAGATAAAGAATCTTTGCTGTGGTGTTAGCACATCACCAATATCCAAATTAACAGCTTGCTATCAAAAGTAAATTAGGTACAGTAAAAGGAGAAGTTCAGTAGCAGCCAGCAAGACAGAGACAGACCAGGAGCAGGTTCACCAACTTCAAGGCAGCTTACTCTCCATCCATTAACTCAATATTAAGATAAGAACTTTATAGATCCCTAAAGAGAAATTCAACTGGAATATACTTATTAATTGGAACTTGGTATTGTTAAACATTAAATACTGAATGAATTTTATGTTTTGCAATGTAAATATCTCTATCATCCCCATCATGAATAAAACCTTCAATAATAGAGGACCATCTAGGTCCATTCTGACACATAAAAAAAGGAAAACCACTCACATTTGTGCTATACCTGGATGCTTGCTAAATGCAGCCTATATTTTAATACATCTACAATGGCTGAAAAAAGTGACCAGGAGCTAAACAGCTGACGTCTCCAGACCAGTTCCCCAGCAATGACTCAGTCATAGTAATGAACTGAACCAGTAGCAATGGCGCTAGCGTCATTAGTTAGCTAGTTAGTCAGTTAATACTTGAAATTATGAGTATTCTTGTCAGTCCCATTGTCAGTAAACTCCACAGCCTGTACATCATTTGGCATGCTTTATAGTACCGCAGCGGCTTATGTATTCACTTTATTTTGTGCTCAGCTGGTTAATGATTCAGCCTCACAGCTGAAGGTATGTTAGCTTTAACGTTAGCCCGACGCTAGCGGCGCTAGCTCGACGCTAGCGGCGCTAGCTCGACGCTAGCGCCGCTAATTCGACGCTAACAGCGTTAGCGTACGCTTTTTCAACTCATTATCTCGACCACTTCAATCATGAATGAAATCTTCATTGATTATAACTGAAACCAGTGCCATTTGAAACGTTAAATCACCGTTTGTCGTGTTCAGAAGTTAGAGAGACTGTGCTCTGACTCACCTTCGTTGATGTCGGAGAAGGATAGCGCGAGCCACCAGTGGGTCACGGTATTAATGTTTGAGGCGTTCAGGGACACTCGGAAATGTCAGACTTCACACGACGGAAAGGCAGTGGTTCAATCAATTCATTTTAATTGTTTTCTAGTACTAATAGTAGCAAGACTAGTTGAAGTAGAAGTGATATAAGTAGTAGTTGTAGAAGTGGAAGTGGGATTTTGTTTGAAGAATTGAAATATGCATGAATAGTAAAAATGATTTAAAGTGGGGAAAATATAACTAATAAAAAATCCTAAAGTATTAGAAAGGTTTGAAGAATCAGAGGTTTGAATAAGAATGAGTTTCAATTTGTTAGAAGAATTGAATAATGCATAAATAATGAGGATGTTTTTAAATGAAGGACAATTTAAATGAATAGAAATCCTCTGTAGACTCCATAATGTCCCCAATGAGCTGAATTTTTGAAGCCCTAAATGTCTCTGTATCTCAAAGTTTGCGAGAGAAGATAGGTGATGAAGCAGACACATGGTCAAAGTGTGTTCAGGTCTCATAGACAGAGAGAGACTCATGCATGCACATATTTACTGTGTGTACATGAAGGTCTCATAGAGAGAAAGAGGCTGACGCACACACACTGTGTGTGTGTGTGTGTGTCGTTAATGATTGCATCCTAAACAGCTGTGAGATCAAAGGCATTAACTGACCTGCTGTTTGAATTGAGAAGCTGCTGAACTGCAGTGAATATAGGGCTCTGAACTTCTTCACATAGCACGATTTCCTTAAATCCCAGAATGAAAATAAGAACATCGTACGAATCCTCCGCCCTTCATGAACACAATGATGTGTTTTTCATGTCTGTACTCCGAAAAATGTGGCCACAACAGCGAGTTAAAAAAGTCTGAGCCTGAGTGGCGATAAGGATTTTCTTGGAGAAAAAATACATGATGGTCAATGGGGAGAGATTTCCGCCTATTTGGACAGTTGGTCACCTGCTGGCCAAGGGGTACGATTTAATGATTTGAAACCTATTTTGTGAGAAGCAGGACACATATACCTCCATTTTGATGTATTATTTATGGCTCTGGAGTGAGATTTGTGGGCGTGGGAGCGATATATTCGAGCGAGGTTCTGTCGATCAGAGACGAGGTCTGCACTCTAGCTGATGACATCATCACTCTAAACTCTCCAATACACACCCATTATAAAGCTTGAAATTTGCTGAAAACCACAATTTGCTTAAAGCTAAATTTTGGAAAAACTGTAAAAGATAGCACAAAAAGGTTAATACAACATCAATAGTCGACAAGACAATGAACATTTTAAAGCAAAAATGAGGTCTCTAGGTGAAAGTATGCTGAAGTTATAAGGTCTAGAAGGTGGAAGAATGAAAGGAAGAAGTTTAAGATTTCCCCATTGACTTCAATGTTAAAATTTTTGCACAAAAAGTTAAAAAAATCAAAAAGTATTAAGGGTAGAAAAGTGAAAAGTAATAGCCATAATGTCCTGAAGGAGTGGAATAGTTTAAAGTTTGAACGGTTGAAATCGGACAAAGTTTGAAGGAGGAGAAGCGGTCCAAAAAAGGGACGGAAGAATAATAAGTTTAACTAGAAAAATTGCATTTCCTTGCAGAAAATGCGTGGAAATGCTGAGTGCTGAAAGCTGAAAAAGCAATGCAAAACTGCCAATAAAAAATGGAGGAAGGTATAAACGGAAAAACTGTAGAAAAGGTGGAGTAGAAGAAGAAGAAATTGTATGAATGGAAGAATTGTAGTATAGCTGGAGGTAAATTAGTTGGATTAATGTACAAATTGTCTGATAGCCTAAGTGAAAAATGTATATGATTGATGTGAATAAACAGAACTGATATGGATAATTGAATTTGAAAAACAAATGCCTTTAAACAATGTGTAACAATGTTCCTATTAAATGTACAAATAGTAAAACAGATTTTTGCAGTCTGCAGCATCCAACCATAGTAACTTGAGAATGCAGAACAGCACCATCTATTGCCCTGCTTCAGTTACTGCCCTACATCTGAATGCAGAAAGTATGAAACAGCTGAAGTTAAATTAATTGTATAAATGTAGAAAGTATAGAAAAGAAAAGCAGAAGTAGAAGAAAAAGAAGAAGCTAGTATGTTAAAAGAGTTAAAGACAAGAACTGTAACAACAAAGTTCATATTGGGGCTGTATTTTCTACTGACAGAGAGACAGTAATGCACACATGGAAACAGTGTGTGTGTATGTGTGTGTGCCCGCGCGCGCACGAGCGGCCAAGTCCGTGCGTGTGCGATCGAAGCACACAGCCCATGACAAGTGCAGAATCTGACAGAGAGATAGTAAGAGACACAGTAATTCACTCATGGAAACAGTGTGTGTGTGTGTGTGTGTGTGTGTGTGTGTGTGTGTGTGTGTGTGCCCGCGCGCGCACGAGCGGCCGAGTCCGTGCGTGTGCATGTGCGTGTGCGATCGAAGCACACAGCCCATGACAAGTGCAGAATCTCTGGCTCTGAAGGAATGTACTCACCTCCTGGGCAAGCTGTACAATTTCATGACTTCAGACCGATTTTGTGAGAAGCAGGACGAGTGTACCTCCATTTTGATGTGTTTTTTATGGCTGTGGAGTGAAAATTGCGGCCGCAGCAGCAAAATAATCATGCTTGGTCTAGTGAATCCAAAAGGCCCCGCCCGCATCGAGTGATGACGTCAGACGCTGTAGCGTGAGTCAGGCTGAAAAAGGCAGACAACTTCATGTTGCTCCAAGTGAAATTGTGCAAAAACGGTAGGAAATAGCAAAAAGGAGTGAATACAACATTTGTAGCAGACACGTTGCTGAACATTTTAAAGCAAAAATGAGGTCTGTAGGTGAAAGTATGCAGAAGTTATAAGGGTGAGAAGGTGTTATAGCTGTATCTCCATTCATTTGTAATGGAACAAATTTTTGCAGAAAAAGTGAAATATTGCAAAAAGTATAAATGGTAGAAAGGTGAAAAGTAATAGCCGTAATGTCCTGAAGGAGTGCATTAGTATAAAGTTTGAATGGTGAAAATAGCACAAAGTGGTAAGGAGTTGAAAAGGGCCAAAAAAGGTACGGAAGAATAATAATAATAATAAAGAAATAGTAGAATAACAATAAGTGGAAATGCTGTGTCAGCATTTCCACTTAACTAGAAAAATTGCATTTCCTTGCAGAAAATGCGTGGAAATGCTGAGTGCTGAAAGCTGAAAAAGCAATGCTAAACTGCTAATAAAACATGGAGAAAGGTATAAATGTTAAAGCTGTTGAAGGGGTGAAAAAGAAATATAAGTTGGATAATAGTTTAATTGGTTGAAGGACAAATAGTATGAATATGCTCTATAAAAGGAAATTTTATTCATGCTGAAAGAGGCTAGAAAAATGTCTAAAATTGCACAAAGTTTGAATGAAGAAGGAAACTGCCTTTAAAGGCAGGAAGGTGAGAAGTGGCATAAGTTTAAGTTGTAGTACTAGAAGAAGTATGATAAGAAGTCAAGTCGTGATACTAGTAGTCATGTCAGCAGTAGAAGTAGATTGAGAATAAAAGAAGTATAAGTCAAAGTAGTAAAGAAAGTAGAAATAGTAGCAATAGCAGCAGTAGAGAAAGTAGAAATAGGAGCAATAGCAGTTGAAGTAGAGGGGAAAGTTCAAGTTTAATTGACATAAGTAGTTGTAGTACTAGAGGTAGGATTTTGTTTGAAGGACGGATTAATGCATAAATATTAAAATTAATATAAAACAGGGAAAATTTTATTAATTAAAAATCCTCAAGTATCAGAAAGTTTTTTAGTATTAGAAAGGTTTGAATCATTTTGAATGAGTTTAAATTAGTTTGAAAAATTAAATGATAAATCATCACTGAGTGACTTTAAAATGTGAAAAATTTAAATGAATATAAATCCTAAATACACCCCATAATGTCCTCAATGAGCTTAAATTTTAAAGCCCTGAATGGTTTCTGTAGGTCAAAGGTCATGTGAGGAGATAGGGGCTGAAGGTTTTTCAAGCGCTCTGGGAAAGGGTTTTAAGTGTCATCCCCAGTGCTATGTGTACTGAGCCTGGCTTCATGTGTCTCATATGGCCATTAGAAGCAGCTTTCCAGTCAGCTGTGTGTCTCCAGGTGCACAAATTGGTTGCCATGGGGACCTTGGATGAATAACTATAGCAGGAGAAAGAAGGCTTGAAGCTAAGGAAACAGGACTCCAAGTAGGCCCTGACGCTCATCCTCTGTATAAATTCATAAGGAGCTTGTGAGAACACAAGATTTTGCTGAACACATTAATACAATTTATTATCACAATCCTCAAAACACCCCATAATATCTTCAATGAGCTGAATTTTTCAAGCCCAGAATGGTTTCTGTAGCTCAAAGTTTGTGGGTGGAGATAGGTGGTGAAGCAGACACATATTATCTGTGTGTACAAGCAGGTGAACTGCAAGGTAGACCTGACAATGCAACAAGTACAAGAATGTGTGTGTGTGTGTGTGTGTGTGTGTGTCTCATTAATGACTGCATCCCTAAACAGCTGTGAGATCAAAGGCAAATCACTAACCTACTGTTTGAATGACAAGCAGCTGAACAGCAGAGGATTTGAAGCCTGTGAACTTCTTCACATAGCGTGATTTCCTTAAGTCCCAGAATGAAAATAAGAACATCGTATGAATCCTCCGTCCTTCATGAACACAATGATGTGTTTTTCATGTCTGTACTTCGAAAAATGAGGCCACAACAGCGAGTTAAAAAAGTCTGAGCCTGAGTGACGATAAGGATTTTCTTGGAGAAGAAATACATTAGGGCCAATGGGGAGATATTTGCGCCTATCTGGACAGTTGGTCACCTGCTGGCCAAGGGGTACGATTTAATGATTTGAAACCTCTTTTGTGAGAAGCAGGACACATATACCTCCATTTTGATGTATTATTTGTGTCAGTGGAGTGAGATTTGTGGGCGTGGGAGCGATATATTCGAGCGAGGTTCTGTCGATCAGAGACGAGGTCTGCACTCTAGCTCATGACATCATCACTCTAAACTCTCCAATACACACCCATTATAAAGCTTGAAATTTGCTGAAAACCACAAGTTGCATAAAGCTAAATTGTGGAAAAACTGTAAAAGATATCAAAAAACTGAGTACAACTATAATAGTCGACAAGTGAATGAACATTTTAAAGCAAAAATGAGGTCTCTAGGTGAAAGTATGCTGAAGTTATAAGGTCTAGAAGGTGGAAGAATGAAAGGAAGAAGTTGAAGATTTCCCCATTGACTTCAATGTTAAAATTTTTGCACAAAAAGTAAAAAAAAACAAAAAGTATAAAGGGTAGAAAGAAAAAAAATGGAAGCCATCATGTCCTGAAGGAGTGGAATAGTTTAAAGTTTGAATGGTTGAAATCGGACAAAGTTTGAAGGAGGAGAAGCGGTCCAAAAAATGGCGGAAGAAAAATAATAATAATAATAATAATAACTAGAAAAATTGCATTTCCTTGCAGAAAATGCGTGGAAATGCTGAGTGCTGAAAGCTGAAAAAGCAATGCTAAACTGCTAATAAAACATGGAGAAAGGTATAAATGTTAAAGCTGTTGAAGGGGTGAAAAAGAAATATAAGTTGGATAATAGTTTAATTGGTTGAAGGACAAATAGTATGAATATGCTCTATAAAAGGAAATTTTATTCATGCTGAAAGAGGCTAGAAAAATGTCTAAAATTGCACAAAGTTTGAATGAAGAAGGAAACTGCCTTTAAAGGCAGGAAGGTGAGAAGTGGCATAAGTTTAAGTTGTAGTACTAGAAGAAGTATGATAAGAAGTCAAGTCGTGATACTAGTAGTCATGTCAGCAGTAGAAGTAGATTGAGAATAAAAGAAGTACAAGTCAAAGTAGTAAAGAAAGTAGAAATAGTAGCAATAGCAGCAGTAGAGAAAGTAGAAATAGGAGCAATAGCAGTTGAAGTAGAGGGGAAAGTTCTAGTTTAATTGACATAAGTAGTTGTAGTACTAGAGGTAGGATTTTGTTTGAAGGACAGAATAATGCATAAATATTAAAACTAATATAAAACAGGGAAAATTTTATTAATTAAAAATCCTCAAGTATCAGACAGTTTTTAAGTATTAGGTTTGAATCATTTTGAATGAGTTTAAATTAGTTTGAAAAATTAAATGATAAATTATCACTGAGTGACTTTAAAATGTGAAACATTTAAATGAATATAAATCCTAAATACACCCCATAATGTCCTCAATGAGCTTAAATTTTAAAGCCCTGAATGGTTTCTGTAGGTCAAAGGTCATGTGAGGAGATAGGGGCTGAAGGTTTTTCAAGCGCTCTAGGAAAGGGTTTTAAGTGTCATCCCCAGTGCTATGTGTACTGAGCCTGGCTTCATGTGTCTCATATGGCCATTAGAAGCAGCTTTCCAGTCAGCTGTGTGTCTCCAGGTGCACAAATTGGTTGCCATGGGGACCTTGGATGAATAACTATAGCAGGAGAAAGAAGGCTTGAAGCTAAGGAAACAGGACTCCAAGTAGGCCCTGACGCTCATCCTCTGTATAAATTCATAAGGAGCTTGTGAGAATACAAGATTTTGCTGAACACATTAATACAATTTATTATCACAATCCTCAAAACACCCCATAATATCTTCAATGAGCTGAATTTTTGAAGCCCAGAATGGTTTCTGTAGCTCAAAGTTTGTGGGTGGAGATAGGTGGCGAAGCAGACACATATTAACTGTGTGTACAAGCAGCTGAACTGCAAGGTAGACCTCATAAAGCAACAAGTACAAGAATGTGTGTGTGTGTGTGTGTGTGTGTGTGTGTGTGTGTGTCTCGTTAATGACTGCATCCTAAACAGCTGTGAGATCAAAGGCAAATCACTGACCTACTGTTTGAATGACAAGCAGCTGAACAGCAGAGGATTAGAAGCCTGTGAACTTCTTCACATAGCGTGATTTCCTTAAGTCCCAGAATGAAAATAAGAACATCGTACGAATCCTCCGTCCTTCATGAACACAATGATGTGTTTTTCATGTCTGTACTCCGAAAAATGAGGCCACAACAGCGAGTTAAAAAAGTCTGAGCCTGAGTGACGATAAGGATTTTCTTGGAGAAGAAATACATTAGGGCCAATGGGGAGATATTTGCGCCTATCTGGACAGTTGGTCACCTGCTGGCCAAGGGGTACGATTTAATGATTTGAAACCTCTTTTGTGAGAAGCAGGACACATATACCTCCATTTTGATGTATTATTTGTGTCAGTGGAGTGAGATTTGTGGGCGTGGGAGCGATATATTCGAGCGAGGTTCTGTCGATCAGAGACGAGGTCTGCACTCTAGCTGATGACATCATCACTCTAAACTCTCCAATACACACCCATTATAAAGCTTGAAATTTGCTGAAAACCACAAGTTGCATAAAGCTAAATTGTGGAAGAACTGTAAAAGATATCAAAAAACTGAGTACAACTATAATAGTCGACAAGTGAATGAACATTTTAAAGCAAAAATGAGGTCTCTAGGTGAAAGTATGCTGAAGTTATAAGGTCTAGAAGGTGGAAGAATGAAAGGAAGAAGTTGAAGATTTCCCCATTGACTTCAATGTTAAAATTTTTGCACAAAAAGTTAAAAAAAACAAAAAGTATAAAGGGTAGAAAGAAAAAAAATACACGCAATAATGTCCTGAAGGAGTGGAATAGTTTAAAGTTTGAATGGTTGAAATCGGACAAAGTTTGAAGGAGGAGAAGCGGTCCAAAAAAGGGACGGAAGAATAATAATAATAATAAGTTTAATAAAGAAACAGGAGAATAACAATAAGTGGAAATGCCTATCAGCATTTCCACTTAATAATAAAGAAACGGGAGAATAACAATAAGTGGAAATGCTTAATCAGCATTTCCACTTAACTAGAAAAATTGCATTTCCTTGCAGAAAATGCGTGGAAATGCTGAGTGCTGAAAGCTGAAAAAGCAATGCTAAACTGCTAATAAAACATGGAGAAAGGTATAAATGTTAAAGCTGTTGAAGGAGTGAAAAAGAAATATAAGTTGGATAATTGTTTAATTGGTTGAAGGACAAATAGTATGAATATGCTCTATAAATGGAAATTTTATTCATGCTGAAAGAGGCTAGAAAAATGTCTAAAATTGCACAAAGTTTGAATGAAGAAGGAAATTGCCTTAAAAGGCAGGAAGGTGAGAAGTGGCATAAGTTTAAGTTGTAGTACTAGAAGTAGTTTGATAAGAGGTCAAGTTGTGATTCTAGTAGTCATGTCAGCAGTAGAAGTAGATTGAGAATAAAAGAAGTATAAGTCAAAGTAGTAAAGAAAGTAGAAATAGTAGCAATAGCAGCAGTAGAGAAAGTAGAAATAGGAGCAATAGCAGTTGAAGTAGAGGGGAAAGTTCTAGTTAAATTGACATAAGTAGTTGTAGCTCTAGAGGTAGGATTTTGTTTGAAGGACGAATTAATGCATAAATATTAAAACTAATATAAAACAGGGAAAATTTTATTAATTAAAAATCCTCAAGTATCAGAAAGTTTTGAAGTATTAGAAAGGTTTGAATCATTTTGAATGAGTTCAAATTAGTTTGAAAAACTAAATGATAAATCATCACTGAGTGACTTTAAAATGTGAAAAATTTAATTGAATATAAATCCTGAATACACTCCATAATGTCCTCAATGAGCTTCAATTTTAAAGCCCTGAATTGTTTCTGTAGGTCAAAGGTCATGTGAGGAGATAGGGGCTGAAGTTTTTTCTAGCGCTCTAGGAAAGGGGTTTAAGTGTCATCCCAAGTGCTATGTGTACTGAGCCTGGCTTCATGTGTCTCATATGGCCATCAGATGCAGCTTTTCAGTCAGCTGTGTGTCTCCAGATGCACTAATTGGTTGCCATGGGGACCTTGGATGCATAACTATAGCAGGAGAAAAAAGGCTTGAAGCTAAGGAAACAGGACTCCAAGTAGGCCTTGACGCTCATCCTATGTATATATTCATGATAAGGAGCTTGTGAGAACACAAGACTCTGCTGAACACATTAATACAATTTATTATCACAATCCTCAAAACACCCCATAATATCTTCAATGAGCTGAATTTTTGAAGCCCAGAATGGTTTCTGTAGCTCAAAGTTTGTGGGTGGAGATAGGTGGTGAAGCAGACACATATTAACTGTGTGTACAAGCAGCTGAACTGCAAGGTGGACCTCAAAAAGCAACAAGTACAAGAATGTGTGTGCGTGTGTGTGTGTGTGTCTCGTTAATGACTGCATCCTAAACAGCTGTGAGATCAAAGGCAAATCACTAACCTACTGTTTGAATGAGAGGTGCTGAACTGCAGTGAATTTCAGCCTGTGAACTTCTTCACATAGCGTGATTTCCTTAAGTCCCAGAATGAAAATAAGAACATCGTACGAATCCTCCGTCCTTCATGAACACAATGATGTCTTTTTCATGTCTGTACTCCGAAAAATGTGGCCACAACAGCGAGTTAAAAAAGTCTGAGCCTGAGTGGGGATAAGGATTTTCTTGGAGAAGAAATACATTAGGTCTAATGGGGAGAGATTTCCGCCTATTTGGACAGTTGGTCACCTGCTGGCCAAGGGGTAAGATTTAATGATTTGAAACCTCTTTTGTGAGAAGCAGGACACATATACCTCCATTTTGATGTATTTTTTATGGGTGTGGATTGAGATTTGTGAGCGTGGGAGCGATATATTCGAGCGAGGTTCTGTCGATCAGAGACGAGGTCTGCACTCTAGCTGATGACATCATCACTCTAAACTCTCCAATACACACCCATTATAAAGCTTGAAATTTGCTGAAAACCACAAGTTGCTTAAAGCTAAATTGTGGAAAAACTGTAAAAGATATAAAAAAACTGAGTACAACTATAATAGTCGACAAGTGAATGAACATTTTAAAGCAAAAATGAGGTCTCTAGGTGAAAGTACGCTGAAGTTATAAGGCTGAGAAGGTGGAGGAGTAAAAGGTAGAATTTGAAGATTTCCCCATTCATTTCAATGGGAAAATTTTTTGCACAAAAAGTCAAAAATATCAAAAAGTATAAGGGGTAGAAAGAAAAAAAATACACGCAATAATGTCCTGAAGGAGTGGAATAGTTTAAAGTTTGAATGGTTGAAATCGGACAAAGTTTGAAGGAGGAGAAGCGGTCCAAAAAAGGGACGGAAGAATAATAATAAGTAACTAGAAAAATTGCATTTCCTTGCAGAAAATGCGTGGAAATGCTGAGTGCTGAAAGCTGAAAAAGCAATGCTAAACTGCTAATAAAAGATGGAGAAGGTATAAATGTTAAAGCTGTTGAAGGAGTGAAAAAGAAATATAAGTTGGATAATGGTTTAATTGGTTGAAGGACAAATAGTATGAATATGCTCTATAAAAGGAAATTTTATTCATGCTGAAAGAGGCTAGAAAAATGTCTAAAATTGCACAAAGTTTGAATGAAGAAGGAAATTGCCTTAAAAGGCAGGAAGGTGAGAAGTCGCATAAGTTTCAGTTGTAGTACTAGAAGTAGTATGATAAGAGGTCAAGTTGGGATACTAGTAGTCATGTCAGCAGTAGAAGTAGTTTGAGAATAAAAGAAGTATAAGTCAAAGTAGTAGAGAAAGTAGAAATAGGAGCAATAGCAGTTGAAGTAGAGGGGAAAGTACTAGTTTAATTGACATTAGCAGTAGTTGTAGTACTTGAGGTAGGATTTTGTTTGAAGGATGGAGTAATGCATAAATATTAAAACTAATTTAAAACAGGGAAAATTTAAAGAATTAAAAATCCTCAAGTTTCAGAAAGTTTTTAAGTATTAGAAAGGCTTGAATTAGTTTGAATGAGTTTAAATTAGTTTGAAAAAATAAATGATAAATCATCACTGAGTGACTTAAAAATGTGAAAAATTTAAATGAATATAAATCCTGAATACACCCCATAATGTCCTCAATGAGCTTAAATTTTAAAGCCCTGAATAGTTTCTGTAGGTCAAAGGTCATGTGAGGAGATAGGGGCTGAAGTTTTTTCAAGCGCTCTAGTAAAGGGTTTTAAGTGTCATCCCCAGTGCTATGGGTGCTGAGCCTGGCTTCATGTGTCTCATATGGCCATTAGAAGCAGCTTTCCAGTCAGCTGTGTGTCTCCAGGTGCACAAATTGGTTGCCATGGGGACCTTGGATGCATAACTATAGCAGGAGAAAGAAGGCTTGAAGCTAAGGAAACAGGACTCCAAGTAGGCCCTGACGCTCATCCTCTGTATATATTCATAAGGAGCTTGTGAGAACACAAGACTCTGCTGAACACATTAATACAATTTATTATCACAATCCTCAAAACACCCCATAATATCTTCAATGAGCTGAATTTTTGAAGCCCAGAATGGTTTCTGTAGCTCAAAGTTTGTGGGTGGAGATAGGTGGTGAAGCAGACACATATTAACTGTGTGTACAAGCAGCTGAACTGCAAGGTGGACCTCAAAAAGCAACAAGTACAAGAATGTGTGTGCGTGTGTGTGTGTGTGTCTCGTTAATGACTGCATCCTAAACAGCTGTGAGATCAAAGGCAAATCACTAACCTACTGTTTGACTGAGAGGTGCTGAACTGCAGTGAATTTCAGCCTGTGAACTTCTTCACATAGCGTGATTTCCTTAAGTCCCAGAATGAAAATAAGAACATCATACGAATCCTCCGTCCTTCATGAACACAATGATGTGTTTTTCATGTCTGTACTTCGAAAAATGATGCCACAACAGCGAGTTAAAAAAGTCTGAGCCTGAGCGATGATCCGGATTTTCCTGGAGAAAAATAACATTATTGTCAATGGGAGAGATTTCCGCCTTTTTTGGACAGTTGGTCACCTGCTGGCCAAGGGGTACGATTTAATGATTTGAAACCTCTTTTGTGAGAAGCAGGACACATATACCTCCATTTTGATGTATTATTTATGGCTGTGGAGTGAGATTTGTGGGCGTGGGAGCGATATATTCGAGCGAGGTTCTGTCGATCAGAGACGAGGTCTGCACTCTAGCTGATGACATCATCACTCTAAACTCTCCAATACACACCCATTATAAAGCTTGAAATTTGCTGAAAACCACAAGTTGCTTAAAGCTAAATTGTGGAAAAACTGTAAGAGATATAAAAAAACTGAGTACAACTATAATAGTCGACAAGTGAATGAACATTTTAAAGCAAAAATGAGGTCTCTAGGTGAAAGTACGCTGAAGTTATAAGGCTGAGAAGGTGGAGGAGTAAAAGGTAGAATTTGAAGATTTCCCCATTCATTTCAATGGGAAAATTTTTGCACAAAAAGTTCAAAAATATCAAAAAGTATAAGGGGTAGAAAGAAAAAAAATACACGCAATAATGTCCTGAAGGAGTGGAATAGTTTAAAGTTTGAATGGTTGAAATCGGACAAAGTTTGAAGGAGGAGAAGCGGTCCAAAAAAGGGACGGAAGAATAATAATAAGTAACTAGAAAAATTGCATTTCCTTGCAGAAAATGCGTGGAAATGCTGAGTGCTGAAAGCTGAAAAAGCAATGCTAAACTGCTAATAAAACATGGAGAAAGGTATAAATGTTAAAGCTGTTGAAGGGGTGAAAAAGAAATATAAGTTGGATAATTGATTAATTGGTTGAAGGACAAATAGTATGAATATGCTCTATAAAAGGAAATTTTATTCATGCTGAAAGAGGCTAGAAAAATGTCGAAAATTGCACAAAGTTTGAATGAAGAAGGAAATTGCCTTAAAAGGCAGGAAGGTGAGAAGTGGCATAAGTTTAAATTGTAGTACTAGAAGTAGTATGATAAGAAGTCAAGTCGTGATACTAGTAGTCATGTCAGCAGTAGAAGTAGATTGAGAATAAAAGAAGTATAAGTCAAAGTAGTAAAGAAAGTAGAAATAGGAGCAATAGCAGTTGAAGTAGAGGGGAAAGTTCTAGTTTAATTGACATTAGGAGTAGTTGTCGTACTTGAGGTAGGATTTTATTTGAATGATGGAGTAATGCATAAATATTAAAACTAATTTAAAACAGGGAAATTTTAAATTTCCTCAAGTATCAGAAAGTTTTGAAGTATTAGAAAGGTTTGAATCAGTTTGAATGAGTTTAAATTAGTTTGAAAAATTAAATGATAAATCATCACTGACTGACTTTTAAAATGTGAAAAATTTAAATGAATAACAATCCTAAATACACCCAATAATGTCCTCAATGAGCTTAAATTTCAAAGCCCTGAATGGTTTCTGTAGGTCAAAGGTCATATGAGGAGATAGGGGCTGAAGTTTTTTCCAACGCTCTAGGAAAGGGTTTTAAGTGTCATCCCAATTGCTATGTGTACTGAGCCTGGCTTCATGTGTCTCATATGGCCATTAGAAGCAGCTTTCCAGTCAGCTGTGTGTCTCCAGGTGCACAAATTGGTTGCCATGGGGACCTTGGATGCATAACTATAGCAGGAGAAAGAAGGCTTGAAGCTAAAGAAACAGGACTCCAAGTAGGCCCTGACGCTCACCCTCTGTATATATTCATAAGGAGCTTGTGAGAACACAAGACTCTGCTGAACACATTAATACAATTTATTATCACAATCCTCAAAACACCCCATAATATCTTCAATGAGCTGAATTTTTGAAGCCCAGAATGGTTTCTGTAGCTCAAAGTTTGTGGGTGGAGATAGGTGGTGAAGCAGACACATATTAACTGTGTGTACAAGCAGCTGAACTGCAAGGTGGACCTCAAAAAGCAACAAGTACAAGAATGTGTGTGTGTGTGTGTGTCTCGTTAATGACTGCATCCTAAACAGCTGTGAGATCAAAGGCAAATCACTAACCTACTGTTTGACTGAGAGGTGCTGAACTGCAGTGAATTTCAGCCTGTGAACTTCTTCACATAGCGTGATTTCCTTAAGTCCCAGAATGAAAATAAGAACATCGTACGAATCCTCCGTCCTTCATGAACACAATGATGTCTTTTTCATGTCTGTACTTCGAAAAATGTGGCCACAGCAGCGAGTTAAAAAAGTCTGAGCCTGAGTGGGGATAAGGATTTTCTTGGAGAAGAAATACATTAGGTCTAATGGGGAGAGATTTCCGCCTATTTGGACAGTTGGTCACCTGCTGGCCAAGGGGTAGGATTTAATGATTTGAAACCTCTTTTGTGAGAAGCAGGACACATATACCTCCATTTTGATGTATTTTTTATGGCTGTGGAGTGAGATTTGTGGGCGTGGGAGCGATATATTCAGGCGAGGTTCTGTCGATCAGAGACGAGGTCTGCACTCTAGCTTTTCAAATCATCACTCTAGCCTCTCCAATACACCCCTATTATAAAGCCTGAAATTTGCTGAAAACCACAGGTTGCATAAAGCTAAATTGTGGAAAACTGTAAAAGATAGCACAAAGAGGTTAATACAACATCAATAGTCGACAAGACAATGAACATTTTAAAGCAAAAATGAGGTCTCTAGGTGAAAGTATGCTGAAGTTATAAGGTCTAGAAGGTGGAGGAATAACAGGAAGAATTGAAAGATTTCCCCATTCATTTCTATGGGGAAAAAAGTTTGGCACAAAAAGTGAAAAATAATAAAAAGTATAAAGGGTAGAAAAGAGAAAAGTAATAGCCATCATGTCCTGATGGAGCGGAATAGTTTAAAGTTTGAACGGTTGAAATCGGACAAAGTTTGAAGGAGGAGAAGCGGTCCAAAGAAACGTATGGGGAGAGTGTTAAGTATAATACTAGAAAAATTGCATTTCCTTGCAGAAAATGCGTGGAAATGCTGAGTGCTGAAAGCTGAAAAAGCAATGCTAAACTGCTAATAAAACATGGCGAAAGGTATAAATGTTAAAGCTGTTGAAGGGGTGAAAAAGAAATATAAGTTGGATAATGGTTTAATTGGTTGAAGGACAAATAGTATGAATATGCTCTATAAAAGGAAATTTTATTCATGCTGAAAGAGGCTAGAAAAATGTCTAAAATTGCACAAAGTTTGAATGAAGAAGGAAATTGCCTTAAAAGGCAGGAAGGTGAGAAGTGGCATAAGTTTAAGTTGTAGTACTAGAAGTAGTTTGATAAGAGGTCAAGTTGTGATTCTAGTAGTCATGTCAGCAGTAGAAGTAGATTGAGAATAAAAGAAGTATAAGTCAAAGTAGTAAAGAAAGTAGAAATAGTAGCAATAGCAGCAGTAGAGAAAGTAGAAATAGGAGCAATAGCAGTTGAAGTAGAGGGGAAAGTTCTAGTTAAATTGACATAAGTAGTTGTAGCTCTAGAGGTAGGATTTTGTTTGAAGGACGAATTAATGCATAAATATTAAAACTAATATAAAACAGGGAAAATTTTATTAATTAAAAATCCTCAAGTATCAGAAAGTTTTGAAGTATTAGAAAGGTTTGAATCATTTTGAATGAGTTTAAATTAGTTTGAAAAATTAAATGATAAATCATCACTGAGTGACTTTAAAATGTGAAACATTTAAATGAATATAAATCCTAAACACACCCCATAATGTCCTCAATGAGCTTAAATTTTAAAGCCCTGAATGGTTTCTGTAGGTCAAAGGTCATGTGAGGAGATAGGGGCTGAAGTTTTTTCTAGCGCTCTAGGAAGGGTTTTAAGTGTCATCCCAAGTGCTATGTGTACTGAGCCTGGCTTCATGTGTCTCATATGGCCATTAGAAGCAGCTTTCCAGTCAGCTGTGTGTCTCCAGATGCACTAATTGGTTGCCATGGGGACCTTGGATGCATAACTATAGCAGGAGAAAAAATTGAAGCTAAGGAAACAGGACTCCAAGTAGGCCTTGACGCTCATCCTATGTATATATTAATGATAAGGAGCTTGTGAGAACACAAGACTCTGCTGAACACATTAATACAATTTATTATCACAATCCTCAAAACACCCCATAATATCTTCAATGAGCTGAATTTTTGAAGCCCAGAATGGTTTCTGTAGCTCAAAGTTTGTGGGTGGAGATAGGTGGTGAAGCAGACACATATTAACTGTGTGTACAAGCAGCTGAACTGCAAGGTGGACCTCAAAAAGCAACAAGTACAAAAATGTGTGTGCGTGTGTGTGTGTGTGTCTCGTTAATGACTGCATCCTAAACAGCTGTGAGATCAAAGGCAAATCACTAACCTACTGTTTGACTGAGAGGTGCTGAACTGCAGTGAATTTCAGCCTGTGAACTTCTTCACATAGCGTGATTTCCTTAAGTCCCAGAATGAAAATAAGAACATCGTACGAATCCTCCGTCCTTCATGAACACAATGATGTCTTTTTCATGTGTGTACTCCGAAAGATGTGGCCACAACAGCGAGTTAAAAAAGTCTGAGCCTGAGTGGGGATAAGGATTTTCTTGGAGAAGAAATACATTAGGTCTAATGGGGAGAGATTTCCGCCTATTTGGACAGTTGGTCACCTGCTGGCCAAGGGGTAAGATTTAATGATTTGAAACCTCTTTTGTGAGAAGCAGGACACATATACCTCCATTTTGATGTATTATTTATGGCTGTGGAGTGAGATTTGTGGGCGTGGGAGCGATATATTCGAGCGAGGTTCTGTCGATCAGAGACGGGGTCTGCACTCTAGCTGATGACATCATCACTCTAAACTCTCCAATACACACCCATTATAAAGCTTGAAATTTGCTGAAAACCACAAGTTGCTTAAAGCTAAATTGTGGAAAAACTGTAAGAGATATAAAAAAACTGAGTACAACTATAATAGTCGACAAGTGAATGAACATTTTAAAGCAAAAATGAGGTCTCTAGGTGAAAGTACGCTGAAGTTATAAGGCTGAGAAGGTGGAGGAGTAAAAGGTAGAATTTGAAGATTTCCCCATTCATTTCAATGGGAAAATTTTTTGCACAAAAAGTCAAAAATATCAAAAAGTATAAGGGGTAGAAAGAAAAAAAATACACGCAATAATGTCCTGAAGGAGTGGAATAGTTTAAAGTTTGAATGGTTGAAATCGGACAAAGTTTGAAGGAGGAGAAGCGGTCCAAAAAAGGGACGGAAGAATAATAATAAGTTTAATAAAGAAACAGGAGAATAACAATAAGTGGAAATGCCTATCAGCATTTCCACTTAACTAGAAAAATTGCATTTCCTTGCAGAAAATGCGTGGAAATGCTGAGTGCTGAAAGCTGAAAAAGCAATGCTAAACTGCTAATAAAAGATGGAGAAGGTATAAATGTTAAAGCTGTTGAAGGAGTGAAAAAGAAATATAAGTTGGATAATGGTTTAATTGGTTAAAGGACAAATAGTATGAATATGCTCTATAAGAGGAAATCTTATTCATGCTGAAAGAGGCTAGAAAAATGTCTAAAATTGCACAAAGTTTGAATGAAAAAGGAAATTGCCTTAAAAGGCAGGAAGGTGATAAGTGGCATAAGTTTAAGTTGTAGTACTAGAAGTAGTATGATAAGAAGTCAAGTCGTGATACTAGTAGTCATGTCAGCAGTAGAAGTAGTTTGTGAATAAAAGAAGTATAAGTCAAAGTAGTAAAGAAAGTAGAAATAGGAGCAATAGCAGTTGAAGTAGAGGGGAAAGTTCTAGTTTAATTGACATTGGCAGTAGTTGTAGTACTTGAGGTAGGATTTTGTTTGAAGGATGGAGTAATGCATAAATATTAAAACTAATTTAAAACATGGAAAATTTAAATAATTAAAAATCCTCAAGTATCAGAAAGTTTTTAAGGATTAGAAAGGCTTGAATCAGTTTGAATGAGTTTAAATTAGTTTGAAAAATTAAATGATAAATCATCACTGAGTGACTTTTAAAATGCGAAAAATTTAAATGAACATAAATCCTAAATACATCCCATAATGTCCTCAATGAGCTTAAATTTTAAAGCCCTGAATGGTTTCTGTAGGTCAAAGGTCATGTGAGGAGATAGGGGCTTAGATTTTTTCAAGCGCTGTAGTAGAGGGTTTTAAGTGTCATCCCCAGTGCTATGTGTACTGAGCCTGGCTTCATGTGTCTCATTTGGCCATTAAAAGCAGCTTTCCAGTCAGCTGTGTGTCTCCAGGTGCACAAATTGGTTGCTATGGGGACCTTGGATGCATAACTATAGCAGGAGAAAGAAGGCTTGAAGCTAAGGAAACAGGACTCCAAGTAGGCCCTGACGCTCATCCTTTGTATGTATTCATAAGGAGCTTGTGAGAACACAAGACTCTGCTGAACACATTAATACAATTTATTATCACAATCCTCAAAACACCCCATAATATCTTCAATGAGCTGAATTTTTGAAGCCCAGAATGGTTTCTGTAGCTCAAAGTTTGTGGGTGGAGATAGGTGGTGAAGCAGACACATCTTAACTGTGTGTACAAGCAGCTGAACTGCAAGGTGGACCTCAAAAAGCAACAAGTACAAGAATGTGTGTGCGTGTGTGTGTGTGTGTCTCGTTAATGACTGCATCCTAAACAGCTGTGAGATCAAAGGCAAATCACTAACCTACTGTTTGACTGAGAGGTGCTGAACTGCAGTGAATTTCAGCCTGTGAACTTCTTCACATAGCGTGATTTCCTTAAGTCCCAGAATGAAAATAAGAACATCATACGAATCCTCCGTCCTTCATGAACACAATGATGTGTTTTTCATGTCTGTACTTCGAAAAATGATGCCACAACAGCGAGTTAAAAAAGTCTGAGCCTGAGCGATGATCCGGATTTTCCTGGAGAAAAATAACATTATTGTCAATGGGAGAGATTTCCGCCTTTTTTGGACAGTTGGTCACCTGCTGGCCAAGGGGTACGATTTAATGATTTGAAACCCCTTTTGTGAGAAGCAGGACACATATACCTCCATTTTGATGTATTATTTATGGCTGTGGAGTGAGATTTGTGGGCGTGGGAGCGATATATTCGAGCGAGGTTCTGTCGATCAGAGACGAGGTCTGCACTCTAGCTTTTCAAATCATCACTCTAAACTCTCCAATACACCCCTATTATAAAGCCTGAAATTTGCTGAAAACCACAAGTTGCTTAAAGCTAAATTGTGGAAAAACTGTAAAAGATAGCACAAAAAGGTTAATACAATATCAATAGTCGACAAGACAATGAACATTTTAAAGCAAAAATGAGGTCTCTAGGTGAAAGTATGCTGAAGTTATAAGGCTTAGAAGGTGGACGAATAACAGGAAGAATTGAAAGATTTCCCCATTCATTTCTATGGGAAAAAAAAGTTTGGCACAAAAAGTGAAAAATAATAAAAAGTATAAAGGGTAGAAAAGAGAAAAGTAATAGCACACATGTCCTGAAGGAGTGGAATCGTTTAAAGTTTGAACGGTTGAAATCGGACAAAGTTTGAAGGAGGAGAAGCGGTCCAAAGAAACGTATGGGGAGAGTGTTAAGTATAATACTAGAAAAATTGCATTTCCTTGCAGAAAATGCGTGGAAATGCTGAGTGCTGAAAGCTGAAAAAGCAATGCTAAACTGCTAATAAAACATGGAGAAAGGTATAAATGTTAAAGCTGTTGAAGTAATGAAAAAGAAATATAAGTTGGATAATGGTTTCATTGGTTGAAGGACAAATAGTATGAATATGCTCTATAAAAGGAAATTTTATTCATGCTGAAAGAGGCTAGAAAAATGTCTAAAATTGCACAAAGTTTGAATGAAGAAGGAAACTGCCTTTAAAGGCAGGAAGGTGAGAAGTGGCATAAGTTTAAGTTGTAGTACTAGAAGAAGTATGATAAGAAGTCAAGTCGTGATACTAGTAGTCATGTCAGCAGTAGAAGTAGATTGAGAATAAAAGAAGTATAAGTCAAAGTAGTAAAGAAAGTAGAAATAGTAGCAATAGCAGCAGTAGAGAAAGTAGAAATAGGAGCAATAGCAGTTGAAGTAGAGGGGAAAGTACTAGTTTAATTGACATAAGTAGTTGTAGTACTAGAGGTAGGATTTTGTTTGAAGGACGGATTAATGCATAAATATTAAAACTAATATAAAACAGGGAACATTTTATTAATTGAAAATCCTCAAGTATCAGACAGTTTTTAAGTATTAGAAAGGTTTGAATCATTTTGAATGAGTTTAAATTAGTTTGAAAAATTAAATGATGAATCATCACTGAGTGACTTATAAAAGTGAAAAATTTAAATGAATATAAATCCTGAATACACCCCATAATGTCCTCAATGAGCTTAAATTTTAAAGCCCTGAATGGTTTCTGTAGGTCAAAGGTCATGTGAGGAGATAGGGGCTGAAGGTTTTTCAAGCGCTCTATATATGTATAAGGAGCTTGTGAGAACACAAGACTCTGCTGAACACATTAATACAATTTATTATCACAATCCTCAAGACACCCCATAATATCTTCAATGAGCTGAATTTTTGAAGCCCAGAATGGTTTCTGTAGCTCAAAGTTTGTGGGTGGAGATAGGTGGTGAAGCAGACACAAATTAACTGTGTGTACAAGCAGCTGAACTGCAAGGTAGACCTGACAAAGCAACAAGTACAAGAATGTGTGTGTGTGTGTGTGTGTGTGTGTGTGTGTGTGTGTGTGTGTGTGTGTGTGTGTGTGTGCGTCTCGTTAATGATTGCATCCTAAACAGCTGTGACATCAAAGCCATGACCTATTGACCTATTGTTTGAATGGAGAAGCTGCTGAACTGCATTGAATTTAGGGTTCTGAACTTCTTCACATAGCGTGATTTCCTTAAGGCCCAGAATGAAAATAAGAACATCGTACGAATCCTCCGTCCTTCATGAACACAATGATGTGTTTTTCATGTCTGTACTTCGAAAAATGAGGCCACAACAGCGAGTTAAAAAAGTCTGAGCCTGAGCGATGATCCGGATTTTCTTGGAGAAAAATAACATTATGGTCAATGGGAGAGATATCCGCCTTCCTTGGACAGTTGGTCACCTGCTGGCCAAGGGGTACGATTTAATGATTTGAAACCCCTTTTGTGAGAAGCAGGACACATATACCTGCATTTTGATGTATTTTTTATGGCTGTGGAGTGAGATTTGTGGGCGTGGGAGCGATATATTCGAGCGAGGTTCTGTCGATCAGAGACGAGGTCTGCACTCTAGCTTTTCAAATCCTCACTCTAAACTCTCCAATACACACCCATTATAAAGCCTGAAAATTTGCTGAAAACCACAAGTTGCTTAAAGCTAAATTGTGGAAAAACTGTAAAAGATAGCACAAAAAGGTTAATACAATATCAATAGTAGACAAGACAATGAACATTTTAAAGCCAAAATGAGGTCTCTAGGTGAAAGTATGCTGAAGTTATAAGGCTTAGAAGGTGGACGAATAACAGGAAGAATTGGAAGATTTCCCCATTCATTTCTATGGGAAAAAAAGTTTGGCACAAAAAGTGAAAAATAATAAAAAGTATAAAGGGTAGAAAAAAGAAAAGTAATAGCCATCATGTCCTGAAGGAGTGGAACAGTTTAAAGTTTGAACGGTTGAAATCGGACAAAGTTTGAAGGAGGAGAAGCGGTCCAAAGAAACGTATGGGGAGAGTGTTAAGTATAATACTAGAAAAATTGCATTTCCTTGCAGAAAATGCGTGGAAATGCTGAGTGCTGAAAGCTGAAAAAGCAATGCAAAACTGCCAATAAAAAATGGAGGAAGGTATAAACGGAAAAACTGTAGAAAAGGTGGAGTAGAAGAAGAAGAAATTGTATGAATGGAAGAATTGTAGTATAGCTGGAGGTAAATTAGTTGGATTAATGTACAAATTGTCTGATAGCCTAAGTGAAAAATGTATATGATTGATGTGAATAAACAGAACTGATATGGATAATTGAATTTGAAAAAGAAATGCCTTTAAACAATGTGTAACAATGTTCCTATTAAATGTACAAATAGTAAAACAGATTTTTGCAGTCTGCAGCATCCAACCATAGTAACTTGAGAATGCAGAACAGCACCATCTATTGCCCTGCTTCAGTTACTGCCCTACATCTGAATGCAGAAAGTATGAAACAGCTGAAGTTAAATTAATTGTATAAATGTAGAAAGTATAGAAAAGAAAAGCAGAAGTAGAAGAAAAAGAAGAAGCTAGTATGTTAAAAGAGTTAAAGACAAGAACTGTAACAACAAAGTTCATATTGGGGCTGTATTTTCTACTGACAGAGAGACAGTAATGCACACATGGAAACAGTGTGTGTGTATGTGTGTGTGCCCGCGCGCGCACGAGCGGCCAAGTCCGTGCGTGTGCGATCGAAGCACACAGCCCATGACAAGTGCAGAATCTGACAGAGAGATAGTAAGAGACACAGTAATGCACTCATGGAAACAGTGTGTGTGTGTGTGTGTGTGTGTGTGTGTGTGTGTGTGTGTGTGCCCGCGCGCGCACGAGCGGCCGAGTCCGTGCGTGTGCATGTGCGTGTGCGATCGAAGCACACAGCCCATGACAAGTGCAGAATCTCTGGCTCTGAAGGAATGTACTCACCTCCTGGGCAAGCTGTACAATTTCATGACTTCAGACCGATTTTGTGAGAAGCAGGACGAGTGTACCTCCATTTTGATGTGTTTTTTATGGCTGTGGAGTGAAAATTGCGGCCGCAGCAGCAAAATAATCATGCTTGGTCTAGTGAATCCAAAAGGCCCCGCCCGCATCGAGTGATGACGTCAGACGCTGTAGCGTGAGTCAGGCTGAAAAAGGCAGACAACTTCATGTTGCTCCAAGCGAAATTGTGCAAAAACGGTAGGAAATAGCAAAAAGGAGTGAATACAACATTTGTAGCAGACACGTTGCTGAACATTTTAAAGCAAAAATGAGGTCTGTAGGTGAAAGTATGCAGAAGTTATAAGGGTGAGAAGGTGTTATAGCTG